TCAGAGTCCATTCCACTGTCACTAATACTTACCATATCCCATGTCAGGAAGGATATCATAGGAACTTGATAGGTTTGTGTCAGAGTCCATTCCACTGTCACTAATACTTACCATATCCCATGTCAGGAAGGATATCATAGGATCTTGTCAGGTTGGTGTCAGAGTCCATTCCACTGTCAATAATACTTACCATATCCCATGTCAAGAAGGATATCATAGGAACTTCATAGGTTTGTGTCAGAGTCCATTCCACTGTCTCTCATACTTATCATATCCCATGTCAGGAAGGATATCATAGGAACTTGATAGGTTTGTGTCAGAGTCCATTCCACTGTCAATAATACTTACCATATCCCATGTCAGGAAGGGTATCATAGAACTTGACAGGTTTGTGTCAGAGTCCATTCCACTGTCAATAATACTTACCATATCCCATGTCAGGAAGGATATCATAGGAACTTGATAGGTTTGTGTCAGAGTCAATTCCACTGTCACTAATACTTACCATATCCCATGTCAAGAAGAATATCATAGGAACTTGACAGGTTTGTGTCAGAGTCCATACCACTGTCACTAATACTTACCATATCCCATGTAAGGAAGGATACCATAGGAATTTGACAAGTTTGTGTCAGAGTCCATTCCACTGTCAATAATACTTACCATATCCCATGTAAGGAAGGATATCATAGGAATTTGACAGGTTTGTGTCAGAGTCCATTCCACTGTCACTTATACTTACCATATACCATGTCAAGAAGGATATCATAGGAACTTGATAGGTTTGTGTTAGAGTCCATTCCACTGTCACTAATACTTACCATATCCCATGCCAGGAAGGATATCATAGGAACTTGATAGGTTTGTGTCAGAGTCCATTCCACTGTCAATAAAACTTACCATATCCCATGTAAGGAAGGATATCATAGGAATTTGACAGGTTTGTGTCAGAGTCCATTTCACTGTCAATAATACTTACCATATCCCATGTCAAGAAGGATATCATAGGAACTTGACAGGTTTGTGTCAGAGTCCATACCACTGTCACTAATACTTACCCTTTCCCATGTCAAGAAGGATGTCATAGGAATTTGACAGGTTTGTGTCAGAGTCCATACCACTGTCACTAATACTTACCCTATCCCATGTCAAGAAGGATATCATAGGAATATAGGTTTGTGTCAGAGTCCATTGCACTGTCAATAATACTTATCATATCCCATGTCAGGAAGGATATCATAGGAACTTGACAGGTTTGTGTCAGAGTCTATTCAACTGCCACTAATACTTGACAGGTTTGTGTCAGAGTCCATTCCACTGTCACTAATACTTACCATATCCCATGTCAGGAAGGATATCATAGGAACTTGATAGGTTTGTGTCAGAGTCCATTCCACTGTCACTAATACTTACCATATCCCATGTCAGGAAGGATATCATAGGATCTTGTCAGGTTGGTGTCAGAGTCCATTCCACTGTCAATAATACTTACCATATCCCATGTCAAGAAGGATATCATAGGAACTTCATAGGTTTGTGTCAGAGTCCATTCCACTGTCTCTCATACTTATCATATCCCATGTCAGGAAGGATATCATAGGAACTTGATAGGTTTGTGTCAGAGTCCATTCCACTGTCAATAATACTTACCATATCCCATGTCAGGAAGGGTATCATAAACTTGACAGGTTTGTGTCAGAGTCCATTCCACTGTCACTTATACTTACCATATACCATGTCAAGAAGGATATCATAGGAACTTGATAGGTTTGTGTTAGAGTCCATTCCACTGTCACTAATACTTACCATATCCCATGCCAGGAAGTATATCATAGGAACTTGATAGGTTTGTGTCAGAGTCCATTCCACTGTCAATAAAACTTACCATATCCCATGTAAGGAAGGATATCATAGGAATTTGACAGGTTTGTGTCAGAGTCCATTTCACTGTCAATAATACTTACCATATCCCATGTCAAGAAGGATATCATAGGAACTTGACAGGTTTGTGTCAGAGTCCATACCACTGTCACTAATACTTACCCTTTCCCATGTCAAGAAGGATGTCATAGGAATTTGACAGGTTTGTGTCAGAGTCCATACCACTGTCACTAATACTTACCCTATCCCATGTCAAGAAGGATATCATAGGAATATAGGTTTGTGTCAGAGTCCATTGCACTGTCAATAATACTTATCATATCCCATGTCAGGAAGGATATCATAGGAACTTGACAGGTTTGTGTCAGAGTCTATTCAACTGCCACTAATACTTGACAGGTTTGTGTCAGAGTCCATTCCACTGTCACTAATACTTACCATATCCCATGTCAGGAAGGATATCATAGGAACTTGATAGGTTTGTGTCAGAGTCCATTCCACTGTCACTAATACTTACCATATCCCATGTCAGGAAGGATATCATAGGATCTTGTCAGGTTGGTGTCAGAGTCCATTCCACTGTCAATAATACTTACCATATCCCATGTCAAGAAGGATATCATAGGAACTTCATAGGTTTGTGTCAGAGTCCATTCCACTGTCTCTCATACTTATCATATCCCATGTCAGGAAGGATATCATAGGAACTTGATAGGTTTGTGTCAGAGTCCATTCCACTGTCAATAATACTTACCATATCCCATGTCAGGAAGGGTATCATAAACTTGACAGGTTTGTGTCAGAGTCCATTCCACTGTCACTTATACTTACCATATACCATGTCAAGAAGGATATCATAGGAACTTGATAGGTTTGTGTTAGAGTCCATTCCACTGTCACTAATACTTACCATATCCCATGCCAGGAAGTATATCATAGGAACTTGATAGGTTTGTGTCAGAGTCCATTCCACTGTCAATAAAACTTACCATATCCCATGTCAGGAAGGATATCATAGGAATTTGACAGGTTTGTGTCAGAGTCCATTTCACTGTCAATAATACTTACCATATCCCATGTCAAGAAGGATATCATAGGAACTTGACAGGTTTGTGTCAGAGTCCATACCACTGTCACTAATACTTACCCTTTCCCATGTCAAGAAGGATGTCATAGGAATTTGACAGGTTTGTGTCAGAGTCCATACCACTGTCACTAATACTTACCCTATCCCATGTCAAGAAGGATATCATAGGAATATAGGTTTGTGTCAGAGTCCATTGCACTGTCAATAATACTTATCATATCCCATGTCAGGAAGGATATCATAGGATCTTGACAGGTTTGTGTCAGAGTCTATTCAACTGCCACTAATACTTGACAGGTTTGTGTCAGAGTCCATTCCACTGTCACTAATACTTACCATATCCCATGTCAGGAAGGATATCATAGGAACTTGATAGGTTTGTGTCAGAGTCCATTCCACTGTCACTAATACTTACCATATCCCATGTCAGGAAGGATATCATAGGATCTTGTCAGGTTGGTGTCAGAGTCCATTCCACTGTCAATAATACTTACCATATCCCATGTCAAGAAGGATATCATAGGAACTTCATAGGTTTGTGTCAGAGTCCATTCCACTGTCTCTCATACTTATCATATCCCATGTCAGGAAGGATATCATAGGAACTTGATAGGTTTGTGTCAGAGTCCATTCCACTGTCAATAATACTTACCATATCCCATGTCAGGAAGGGTATCATAGAACTTGACAGGTTTGTGTCAGAGTCCATTCCACTGTCAATAATACTTACCATATCCTATGTCAGGAAGGATATCATAGGAACTTGATAGGTTTGTGTCAGAGTCAATTCCACTGTCACTAATACTTACCATATCCCATGTCAAGAAGAATATCATAGGAACTTGACAGGTTTGTGTCAGAGTCCATACCACTGTCACTAATACTTACCATATCCCATGTAAGGAAGGATACCATAGGAATTTGACAAGTTTGTGTCAGAGTCCATTCCACTGTCAATAATACTTACCATATCCCATGTAAGGAAGGATATCATAGGAATTTGACAGGTTTGTGTCAGAGTCCATTCCACTGTCACTTATACTTACCATATACCATGTCAAGAAGGATATCATAGGAACTTGATAGGTTTGTGTTAGAGTCCATTCCACTGTCACTAATACTTACCATATCCCATGCCAGGAAGTATATCATAGGAACTTGATAGGTTTGTGTCAGAGTCCATTCCACTGTCAATAAAACTTACCATATCCCATGTAAGGAAGGATATCATAGGAATTTGACAGGTTTGTGTCAGAGTCCATTTCACTGTCAATAATACTTACCATATCCCATGTCAAGAAGGATATCAAAGGAACTTGACAGGTTTGTGTCAGAGTCCATACCACTGTCACTAATACTTACCCTTTCCCATGTCAAGAAGGATGTCATAGGAATTTGACAGGTTTGTGTCAGAGTCCATACCACTGTCACTAATACTTACCCTATCCCATGTCAAGAAGGATATCATAGGAATATAGGTTTGTGTCAGAGTCCATTGCACTGTCAATAATACTTATCATATCCCATGTCAGGAAGGATATCATAGGAACTTGACAGGTTTGTGTCAGAGTCTATTCAACTGCCACTAATACTTGACAGGTTTGTGTCAGAGTCCATTCCACTGTCACTAATACTTACCATATCCCATGTCAGGAAGGATATCATAGGAACTTGATAGGTTTGTGTCAGAGTCCATTCCACTGTCACTAATACTTACCATATCCCATGTCAGGAAGGATATCATAGGATCTTGTCAGGTTGGTGTCAGAGTCCATTCCACTGTCAATAATACTTACCATATCCCATGTCAAGAAGGATATCATAGGAACTTCATAGGTTTGTGTCAGAGTCCATTCCACTGTCTCTCATACTTATCATATCCCATGTCAGGAAGGATATCATAGGAACTTGATAGGTTTGTGTCAGAGTCCATTCCACTGTCAATAATACTTACCATATCCCATGTCAGGAAGGGTATCATAGAACTTGACAGGTTTGTGTCAGAGTCCATTCCACTGTCAATAATACTTACCATATCCCATGTCAGGAAGGATATCATAGGAACTTGATAGGTTTGTGTCAGAGTCCATTCCACTGTCACTAATACTTGAAGAATCAAGTCTGGAAAAGAAACACATCATTACATCAAAAATTCTCTCTTTCACATTTACATTCTGATACTTTTACAGCCTACCTCATATTGAATCATTTGCTTCAAATAAACAAGTTTTTATGAATTAAGTTTTTAAGCTGTTGCAACCCCTACAGTTTAGGATTGATGAAATTTTATTAGATCAGTAAAAATATCCTTTTTAATATTATTTCAAAGTGTAGAAGTCAGTTCAAAGTTATTTTGATGGTTCAGCAAAGAGTTTTGTAATTTTTTCTAGTGTGTATTTGTCATTTTATCTTAGTTATTTTGTATGCTAAACCAAGAATGTGAGTAAGAAGACATGTAATTGTAATTTTACATCTACATCTACATTGGAGTCAGTGGTCACTCATGACTGTAACATGTAATATATTAATGCATCAATATAATATGATCATCTACAGTCTCACCTGTTATATTTATAAAACTCCTTACTGAGGAGCACTATGGTGTGCACTTAAAAATACTTTTTTGTAACAATTCAAATGATAATAAATAACTCTCAATAACATATATACTATATGTTTGAACAAGTAATTTAAATGTAGATAATTTAATTACATTAAACATTCAATTTTGCATGTATAACTCCATCTTTCAAAACTACTTGTTTATTTTTATAGACTGGTATAAGTTATAAAACATTGAAATTTCTGATGATTATTTTCCTTACCAAATGTACAAGTTAATTTGTTTAGATTAACATCAAAATGATATGCTTTGCTTCATAGTATAATAATTTGATAAAAAAAAATTCTTACTGGAACCAACATCAAGAACACATTAATTTCTGAATATGGTTTAAATACAACTAATGTTCTCCAGCTGAGCCTAGCAATATTCAAGGTAATTATACACTGTCCAACAGTGCCCTTAAAATCAGGGTTATAACGCTAAAGTGCCCTTTCAGACAACTACACCCTTCTGCCCTGAGATTCAAGCTGGAACACTGCATGTACATGTAATAATTGGTCATATGTGATTGTAACATGTATATGTAGTCTGGGGTCATAAAGGATTGTAACATTTACATGTAGGTAAGTGATTGAAAGATTAGCATGTATTCAGTGGTCATAAGTGATTGTAATGTATGTATAACAATACATGTTTTTTTTTTTTTTTTGTGTGAAGATGTGGTATGATTGCTAATGAGACATCTCTCCACTAGAGACCAAAGTTGACATAGAGGGTTACAACTATAGGTCACTGTATGGCCTTCAACAATGAGCAAACCCATACCGCATAGTGAGCTATAAAAGGCTTTGAAATGGCAAATTTAAAACAATTCAAAGGAAAAAAATAACGGCCTGACAAAACAATGAACGAAAAACAAATATGATATAAAACAACAAACGACAACCACTGAATTACAGGCTCCTGACTTGGGACAGACGCATAAGGAATGTGGCGGGTTAAACTAGTTTGGTAGCGCCAAAACCTCTCTCTAACCTGGGACAGTGAGGTAACAGTACAACATAAGAACAAACAATAATAAAATGCTCCGCTGGGCGCAGCTTGATACGACCGCAAAGGTCGAACCCTGAACATTTGGGGCAAGTATGGACACAACATTCAAGCTTGATACAGCACTGAATTTGGATTGTGATTAAATATTTGACACAGCATAGGTTTCTGACACAGAATGAATGTGGTCTAAGAACTTAAAATTTTTAATTTACCTATTCAAACCATATCATTATTATTTGCTTTTATATATAAATCAGAAATAACCAACTTAATATGGAAAATTTTAAAGAAAAAAAAAGGAAAAAAAAATCCCCCCCTAAATTTTTTGAACCCCCTTATGATTCATCACCCCCAAATTCAATCCCAGTCTTCCCTTTGTGGTATGGTACCTTGCAGTACAATTTCATAGAGATCCATACACTTGAACACAAGTTATTGTCTGGAAACTAGAAATAATGCTTGTTTTTTAGCCCCTTTTTGGCCCCATATTCCTAAACATTTAGGGCAATTACCCCAAAACTCAAACCCAGCTTTCCCTTTGTGATATGGAACCTTGTAGTACAATTTCAGAAAGATCCATAGACTTACACACAAGTTATTGTCATGAAACTAGAAAAATGCTTGTTTTTTGCCCCTTTTTTTGGCCCCTAATTCCTAAAATTTTGAGGCAATTACCCCCAAAATCATCCAAACATTCCCTTTGTGATATGGAACCTTGCAGTACAATTTCAGAGAGATGATCAGATCCATACACTTGAACACAAGTTATTGTCTGGAAACTAGAAAAATGCTTATTTTTTTGCACCTTTTTGGCCCCTTATTCCTAAACGTTTTGGGCAATTACCCCCAAACTTAATTCCAGCTTTCCCTTTATGATATGGAACCTTGTAGTACAATTTTAGAAAGATCCATAGACTTACACACAAGTTATTGTCATGAAACTAGAAAAATGCTTGTTTTTTGCCCCCTTTTTAGCCCCTAATTCCTAAAATTTTGAGGCAATTACCCCCAAAATCAATCAAAACATTCCCTTTGTGATATGGAACCTTGTGGTACAATGTCAGAGAGATCCATACACTAACACACAAGTTATGTCTGGAAGTTACAAAAATGCTTATTTTTGGCCACTTTTTGGCCCCTAATTCCTTAACTGTTGGTACCATAACCCCCAAAATCAATCCTAACCTTCCTTTTGTGGTATTGAACCTTATGGTAAAATTTCATAGAGATCCATTCACTTAAACTAAAGTTAGAGTGCGAAAACCAATGTGTCTTGGGACGACGACGACGCCAACGTCATACCAATATATGACCACAAAATATCTTTGCGGCCGTATAAAAATCAGTTGAAAAGGCCTTAACTCATCAGATTCATACAAAGCAGAAAAACATCTAACAAAAACACAGACCGGACGTGGCAGGGCATTTATATACCGACAACAAAAAAGACACATGATACAGATCTAAAAGTATTCATAGTTACTGACATCAAGTTCAAAGCCAATAACAACTAATAAAAAATCATGCATCTTAGACTAAAATTTCATACATGTATTCAGTGGTCATGAGGGATTGTAACTTAAACATGTAGTCAGTTACATGTAACATAAGTAATTGAACATGTAGTCAGCAGTCATATATTATTGTAAAATATATATATGTAGTCAGTGGACATACAAAATGTATTAGATTGTAACATTTACACATAAATATAGTCATTTTGTCATTCATGATAATAATACGTACATGCTGACAACTTGAAGAAATATAATCAGAAAGGCATTTTTTATACCATTTAAAAAAAAATCTGTTTTATGGCAATAGGCAAAAACTATGAAATTTTAAATATTTCTGTCAAATGATTGCATACATTTATATATGTAATGCCATCTATATAGACTGTTTACCTGCTTTTAGAATCATACTCATCATAATCTTCACTCTCAATGATTAACTCACACATCCCTGTATCATCACTAGTAATGAAAGAATTTCTCAAGTGAGAGATCAGAAATCTGGCATTATCTGTCATAGCCATGGTAACAGCCTAGTTATATAAGTAAATCTGAAAAAAACATAGTTATTCTTTGATTGACTATTCTATTACTTAAATCAATTATCAGCACAATTACAATACTGTGTAATGTATATATAAGAATATAATTTTTTTTGTTATATGTCATGTATGTTTTTATTTATATATAATAATGTAATATGCTATTGAAAAAATCATAAATAAAAAGATATGGGAGGGATGTTTTTCTTTTGGACAAATGAAGAAAAGGATTTTAAATGTGGCATATATATATATATAATATGTGTTTTCAGCCATGTATCACCTTCACTGGTGATCCAATGGATGGATCTGTCATCGAGTTGTCACTTGTTTAGACGTACTTATATATATATAATTCGTCTAAATAACAGCCTAACAATGTTAGATCTGTAAATTTGCGTAAGCATTTGGTAGAAACATTTAGACGAATTATATATACAGAATGTGTTTTCAGCCTTGTATTACCATCACTGGTGATCCGATGGATAAAATCTGTCGTAGAGTTGTCACTGGTTCAGACGTACTTATTATATATATATATATATACATATATATATATATGTATATATAAAACGTCTGAATAATAGTCAACGATTTTTCCCACGAGGGCGTTTTTTTTTTTTTTTGTGTACACTTTTTAGGCGTTTATATATGTATATATATATACATGTATATTACTTAATTTGCAGATTACAACAACTGTGAACAAAATCATCATTACTTATATATTGGAATAGTTAAATGATAAAACAATACTACAAAGTATAGTTGAATCCATGACAACTCGCCCCATTGCCAAATCGCCCTAGACCTAACATTGCCTAATCCCCCCAAATTTCTACCAACTGGCCCCACTAATGTTAACCAACTCACCAAAATTTTTATAATGTAGAAACCAAGCCATCAAATTTCTTAAGTTTAATTGTTTTCAAACCATAAACAATACTTACCAATCAATTCTTAACAACAACCAAACCTGCTTTGACTACTTTTACTAACAAAAACACCATAGACGCTTATTGTAATTGAATGAATGGACATTCTCTTTGATACTTATTTGAAAGTCACATTTGTCTAACATTGATTGCTCCTTAGTGTTTAATTATTTTTCATTCAAAGACAAAAGTTACCAATCCGTTAATTGCTATAAAAACAATTTGCTGTTAACATGGTTAAATTGGAATCCTTAAATTGTTATGTTAGTATATCGCATTGTGATACTATTAACTGGTTTCTTCGCCATTATTAATTTATGCAAATAAGTAAGTTTGCAAAAACAAAGTTATTCTCAAATAAATACAACAATTACATAATAATGAATAATGTATCTACAATTTTATTTAAAAAACGAAGCATCATTTACTTTCAATCAGAATCATACATTAAATTTCCTTTTTTTATTAGTATTACAAGTGGTTTTTTTCTATTGTTATTTAATTAGTAGTACTACAATTGGGGAGATTGTGAAGATTTAAACTACTTTTCATATGTTTGGTGAGTCAGCAGGACCAAATTCATCTGGATTTTACTCTTTTTCATAAGTAGGGTGAGTTGTCAGGACTAAATTTATTGGAATTTGGATTTTACTTTTTTTCATAAGTGGGGCAAGTTGGCAGGACTAAATTCATCGTGGTTTTACTTCATTTCATAAGGGGGGCGATTTGGCAGGACTAAATTCATCACAATTTTACTCTTTTTCATAAGTGGGACGAGTTTAAGCAGAACTAAATTCAACAAGATTTACCTCTTTTTCATGAGTGGGGCAAGTTTGAAGGTCTAAATTCAGCGGGATGAAACTCTTTTTCATGAATGGGGTGAGTTGGTACACATGAGTGGGGGAGTTGGTAGAAAATTGGGGCGATTTTATCTGCGGAAGTTTGGCAGTGGGGCGAGTTGTCTTTCTTCCGTATAAGTTGATAAAATAATGACTTAAAAATTGTAAAAAGCCTTATTATCGAGCCCTTTGAGACCAAGCATGATTGAAAGTAAATAATAACCATGATAACATGAGCCAAGTATGATAATCAGAGACTCAGGCTTCAGTGTTCCAACTCTTACTGCAGATAAGGTGTTAAGATATGCTTAACAGCAATCAGAGAGGGCATTTGCTAACCCAGAGATATACATGCCATGGAATATAATCAATTTATTAGAACAGTTATAGAATGCCTTAAGGCTTAAGCAAACTTGAAGTTGAAAACAACACTCTACAAAAAAAGACAAAAAACAGACAACATCACCCCAGACAAACGTGAATAAAAGTCTTACTTGTTTCATATAATAGATGGAATCAACATCCGGATGAAAAATATCGGTGTTAATTTGTTAAACTTGAACATGTTGAAGGCAAAAAAACAAAAACAGCAGGTTCCAAGTTGGGGTGGCCCCAGGCAATGCAAGGGAAGTAATTAGTAATTACGGTAATTATAAAACTCGGAACGTAATCGGAGATGATAATCCAAGACGGAATCTGTCGAGCCTCGGGTAATGTTTCAGAAAAAAGTTTTGTATTTCAGATTTATAATACTATTAATCTCAGAATAATATAAATATGTTTATCTTCGTCAAAGATATCGGTTCTACTTAATTCTAATTATGTTTTAATTCACATTTTCCATTCCCATCCCTGTAACAACATGTGCGAGCTATATTGGAAAATCTATAGAGCTATCTTTCATACAGTGAACACCTTCAACCATACTGCAGACTATTTTACAAATGTATATGTGTGTCAAAACTTTCTGTTGAACTTATCCTTTATTACACAGACATGTAAACATTTATAGAATTTTCCCAAATATATGTAATTACCAATTAATATTATCATTTAATGATCTAATGTCTTTTAATTCATAATGAGGGCTAACAAACTCTGTGAGAAAACAAACCCTGGGTAAAATGTTATAAATTTAAGCCAACAGACATGCTATTATTTTTTCCAAGCTGCAAATATGTCTATGTCTTCGGTTGTCACAAGTATATAATTTTTAAAATTGATAGATTTGTCTCAAGACAATTAGGCTGTTTGACTGTTGATTGATACATGTATATATATATATATATATCTATACAATGCCAATTAGGTATTATTATTCTGGTATCCATGATTGATTTGATATAGCTTTGTAAGGTTTGAAAGTAACTCCTGTGACATCCCTCCTTCAAATTGTTGAAGTTGTCACTAACTGTAGATAGATATAGATCTGATTATATACTGATCGAGACTACATACTATAAACCTGAGACTACTATAACATGTGTTATAGTAGTCTCAGTATAAACATACAAGACCACCTCTTGCTGTAGTCCTTCTAGGAATTCCAAATTCGGTCTATTTATCTAATTTGACTGCACAGCCCTTATAGGATTAATTAGCTTAATATGCTTAATAAGAAAAATTAGGAGATGTGGTATGATTGCCAATGATACAGCTATCTGTGAGCCATAAAAGTGTCCTGTGAAAAGTGTCCACCCGGACACATTTTCACAGAAAAGGTAAATTTAAATGTGTCCGATGCTTTGAAAAAGTGTCCATTCAATCGGACATAATTTCATGATAAAATACTATTATATTCTGTCCTGTAAAGGTTGATTTTCAATAAGAGGACATTTTTACACATTAAAAAGTGTCCTTTAAAGGTAAATAATAAAAAAGTCACTGAAATGATTTAGCTATATCTAATTTTCTATTACTAAAACAAACCAATCAAGAATCAGTTATAATTTGATATAAACAAAAATGGAAGGTGTTGAATTCCACAGCATTTTCAATTACAATCGTATCTTAGCTATAAAGATGTCGACAAAATGTATCCACCAGCCTCAACTGACAATGAGAAAAGAACTTTGAGGAGAGAAGCATCCAACTATAAAATGAAAAATGATGAACAGTACTTTACAACTATTGATCAAAAAAAAAAAAGAGAGAGTAAAACAACTCGTAGTGCACAATGATAAGCTATACATAATTACACATGGTGATGATCACATTTCGTATGAATTCAATCCTCCAGTTTACATGCCGTGTTTTAATAGAGACAAAACCCCCATGCTAATTTAAAAACTTCAATTTAGATAAAGAACTGTAGCTATGTATACATTTTGTAGGTAATGAGAGTGGACACTTTTTCGTGGGAAATACTGTCCTTTCTATGAAGGACACTTTTTCATATAATAAAATGTCCTTTCTTTGAAGGACACTTTTTCACATCTGTGGACACGATTTCATAGGTAAATATTGTCCTGACGATATTTCATAATAACACATTATGTCCTTGGACACAATTTACTGTGAAAAAGTGTCTGGTGGACATATTAATTTCATGGCGGACAATAATTAATCCTACATATCCACATGATCCACCAAGGACCAAAGGACACATATCTAGTCCACGTTGGTATCATGTCGATCTGTCCTCAGCAATTCTAGTCCATTTTAAAGTGTCATCAAACCCATCATGCCTTGTCAAAGATTGGAATATAGAAACTTTACTGAAAATATGAAATCAGTGGAAAAAAGAGGATATGGTTTACATGGTATATCAATTCATGACACAAACTCATTATCATGACTACAATACATACACATGAAAAAACTGAAAGCAAAGGAACAGTGCTTTTATTGCTGTTCTTTATCTCAAATGCATCACTGCAAAGTACAGGACAGCTCATAGCACCTGTTTGAGCAGAATTCTCTGTCTGATGTCTATCACACTACATCTGTGGATTAAAAAGCAACAGCTACTTGGTAATATCAACAAATTATAAATAATTTCTTGTATAGAAATGTAACAAATACTGTCTTACATTGTCAGAAAATCTCACTGTTAAATACATAAAAACAATCAAACATTTAGACAACTGCTAGGCATAGCAAGATATATACATTGTACATGTATGTTAGATAACTTGGTAGGAAGTTACCTATGAATAGGGAAAATAATTTATTTGGACTGAATACAAATTTCAATAAACATACTGGCTAAAAGTGGGAAAATGAAGCAGCACACATACTTTGTAGGAGAAGTCATCTCAAGAATAGATATGCCCAAACTGTAAAAATATTTTAAAGCATCAACTACATATTGACAGGTACATGCTGTGTTTTTATATATTATTATGTTGCTGTCTCATTGGGTTTTGTTGTACATATCCTTCAGCCATGAATTGTACCATTTGATTATTTCAGTGAATCTTCAATCTTACATATTTGAATTTATGTGATTAGTATTATAGCAACAGATGAATGGAAGATAATCTACTTTAACAATTTAAGAAGATGAACCTTTTGCCTCACAGCCACACTGAATTTCATTCTCCAGAGTACTGGGACAACTTTTTCAAAAAAAGAGGAACCAAAGCTTTTGAATGGTAAGTTAATTTATTTCTTCTTTTTTCTTTTTTTCTGAAGATATATGCATGTGAACAGGATACATATTTTCAAAAATAATGATACTCCTTGTAAATTTGATCATTTAGTTGAACTTTCATGTTTTACCAAACAATTAAAGATGTACATTTTGGAAGGATTTTGTATTCCTTTATTTTCTCCAAAATATTATTAGTTGTTGAACTCTGAAATTATTACTGTCTTCCCCTTTGTCACAGAAGTGAGACTTTGGTATGCTGTTATAAGTGTTGAAGCATCAACTAAAGTTAAAATTTGTGATTAAGTCTATTTAATGGGAACCACTTCTGGCATGTGACTGGTACTTGTAGATGAAAACATGTGTCTGGCATACACAATTATAAGCCTGGTATCTTTGATGAGTTTTTGATATGAAATTGTATTAGTATTGGCATATCTCATTTTGCATGGAGTTATTTGGCCCAACACCTCACTTATAATCTATTTATATTTGAATCATAAAGAAGTAGATGCCTGGCCTTTTTAGGTCCATATCTATATAAGTATAATGAATGCAAACTATGTCCTCATTTTATTCATATCACATGTGGAGGCCTTATATATGTCTCACAGACAAAGATTAATTATGTAGAACTAACAAAATTTCTTGCTTTTTGTTAAATTTCTATATGTGCTGACACTGCTGAGGGGATAGGCATACTTTGAACAGTCAATTTTATGCATTTGAATTTGAAAAGAATCTGTGTTATTTGAAATATATCATTGATTTAAACAGGTATGGAGAATATCCAGAATTGTGTGGAGTTCTACACAAATATATAAAGCCCAAAGATAAATTACTGGTTGTTGGCTGTGGAAATTCTGTCATCAGTGAAAATCTGTATGATGTTGGTTACCATGGTATTGTGAACATTGATATAAGTGATATAGTCATTCGTCAAATGATAGACAAAAACCAAAGCAAAAGACCTGATATGAAATTTCTTAAGAAAGATGTGAAACAAGTTAGTAATTGAATATGAACAAGAAGATAAAGTTGAATGTGAACAAATTGATCAAGTTGGATATGAACAAGTAGATAAAGTTAAATATGAACAAGTAGATAAAGTTAAATATGAACAAGTAGATAAAGTTAAATATGAACAAGTAGATAAAGTTGAATATATGTATTAACAAGTAGCTAAGTTGAATATGAACAAGTAGATAAAGTTAAATATGAACAAGAAGATGCTGGTGAATGTGAACAAGTAGAGAGAGTTGAATATGAACAAGTAGATTCGTTGAATATGAACAAGTAGATAAGTTGAATATGAACAAGTAGATGCAGTTGAATATGAACACAAGTAGATAAAGTTGAATATGAACAAGTACAGAAAGTTAAATATGAACAAGTTGATCAAGTTGAATATGAACAAGTACAGTAAATAAAGTTGAATATGAACCAGTAGATCAAGATGAATATGAACAAATAGATCAAGTTGAATATGAACAAGTAGATAAAGTTATATGAAAGGATGATATTGTAACATTTCTAAATTTATAATGTAGTATGAAAAGGTTAAAATAAATGTAACACTAAGAACATGATCAAGTTAATTATGTAACATGAAAACATTATTAATATAGCATAAACCTAGTTCTGACATATACCAGAATATGAAAAAATGTAACATTGTCAAGGGATTATTTTGAACAAAGAAGAAATGTGATATGTACACATCAAGAACATAAAGACAATTAAACTTGAGCTTGTCGAATCATGAAATAAGAAATAAAATTAAAAATTTCATTAAAGCACATGATATTACTGATATAGTTATTTTGCAGATGGATTTTCAAGATGGAGAATTCAGTGCAGTGTTTGACAAGGGTACTCTTGATGCCTTGATGGTTGATGAAACAGAATCTGTTGTTGCAGATATTGATGCTATGTTTAATGAAATAGGACGTGTCCTTAAACAAGGTGGAAGATACATCATAATTACATTGCTACAGGATCAGATACTGAAAAAAGTTTTTTCTTATTTCCCTGAACTGTAAGTAATCCTCAGTCAGTTTTATATGTACAGACAAAAAAAATGGAGCCCATTCTTTTGTGATTTATTAATTTATGAAAAATAAATCTTTTATGTGTACAAAGAATAACTAGGAATTGTGGTATATTATCACCCCCAAGTAATAATTATATAATTTACCATTGTTCCCCTCATCTACCATGAGGAAGGACTTAACTCATAAAAGCTATTTTTATAATGGATGTGAGGCTGCTTCTGGTGCATGGTCAATAAACACTAAACATTATGGTTGATATGGCTATATATATCAATTTATATCTCATGTTTGAGTTGTTTTTCTTGTGTATTGTCTATATTGCAATTGTTTAATATAAAAAATAATCACTGTACTGATTATGCCCATAATGGGTCCTGTATTAGAAATACAAATTTATTATACCCCCGTCTGTCCATCCGTCAGTCCGTCCGTCCGTCCGTCCGTCCGTCCGTCTGTCCGTCCGTCCGTCCATCTGTCCATCCATCCGTCCATCCGTCCATCTGTCTGTCCCATGAATATTTTTCGTCAAATCTTTCTCAGGAACTACATTAAATGGATTTCTGAAATTTGGTTTCAGGGTTTATATAAGTCAGCTATACAGTGTAATGCGTTTTCAGATCCATCACTCAACAACTTCCTGTTTACCTAACACTTACATCATTTTTCACATGACATCCAAGTTGAAAATTTTCGTCACATTTTTCTCAGGAACTACATTACAAGGATTTCTGAAATTTGGTTTCAGGGTTTATATAAGTCAGCTGTACCATGTGATGCGTTTTCAGATCCATCACTCAACAACTTCCTGTTTAACGTCAAGTATTTGGGCGGGGGTATCATCAGTGAGCAGTAGCTCACAGTTTCACTTGTTTATTTATTTTTCTACCAAATAATACAAATATACATAGAAAAGTCATTGGATGTGAACAGAAATAACTTTTTTTTATGGGCATGTAATAAGGTAATGTTACCAAACAGTGTATAAAATTTCAATGAATGGTGTCATAAATGTTTATGGTCAATTTTTAAGATTTATTTCTACACATTAATTTTCAATTAAAATAAATTCTAATCTTTTCTAATACAACCTATGAATAGGACAACCTTAAGTGGCAATATAAAATCTTACACCATAGATCAGTTGACATGGAGAAGCAACATCTTATATCAACCAGCAGTGTATTTACCATGATTTACCTGTACAGTACTAACATTATACAAAAACAATCATCTTTTCAGTGGGTGGCCGATTAGAATCCATCTTATCAGTACAGATAGTTCAGAAAACAAAGATTTCCACATGCCAGTGTTTGCAGTAGTGCTGACAAAGTTCAAAAAGTTACCAAACATGAAACAGGTTGGTTTATCTATTGACTATTGTTTAGTGTATGCATAGATAGACTTAGAACATAAAACAGGTTGGTTTATCTTTTAACTATTGTTTTGTGTATGCATAGATAGACTTAGAACATGAAACAGGTTGGTATATCTATTAACTATTGTTTAGTGTATGCATAGATAGACTTAGAACATGAAACAGGTTGGTATATATATTGACTATTGTTTAGTGTATGCATAGATATGCACATGAAACAGGTTGTATATCTTTAGACCAATTTCAAGTTCTTTTTTATGAATGGGTAACACTGATTGTGTGTAAATGATGTAGTTTTACAATCAACTCTTACTGTGGCGTAACAACCTAAGCATTGTGACTTTCGAAATATATGGGAAAATGTATAAATTGGAAAATCGTCTAATGACTGCGGTTCAATGTATGTGGACAAAAAAGAGGCTGAAGATACCAATGGGACATTCAAAACTCTATAAGTTGAAGAAAAACTGACAATGTGATGGCAAAAAATGAAAAACAACCAAAAGGCAAACAAATCAACATAACAATACATAGAAAACTAAAGATTGAGCAACAGGCACTCCACCAAAAACCAGAGTGGACTTGGAACATTAAACTAAAGATTGACCAACACACACTCCACCAAAAACCAGAGTAGACTTGGAACATTAAACTAAAGATTGAGCAACACGCACCCAACCAAAAGCCAGAGTAGACTTGGAACATTAAACTAAAGATTTAGCAACACACACCCCACCAAAAGCCAGAGTGGACTTGGAACATTAAACTAAAGATTGAGCAACACAAACCCCACCAAAAACCAGGGTGGACTTGGATCATTAAACTAAAGATTGAGCAACAAGCACCCACTAAAATTCAGGGTGGACTTGGAACATTAAACTACAGATTGCGCAACAGGAACCCAACCAAAAACCTGGGTGGACTTGGATCATTAAACTAAAGATTGAGCAACACGCACCATACCAAAAACCAGAGTAGACTTGGAACATTAAACTAAATATTTAGCAACACAAACCCCACCAAAAACCAGAGTAGACTTGGAACATTAAACTAAAGATTTAGCAACACACACCCCACCAAAAACCAGGGTGGACTTGGAACATTAAACTAAAGATTCAGCAACACACACCCCACCAAAAACCAGGGTGGACTTGGAACATTAAACTAAGTAAGTAAATTCCACAGTTAAAGTTAACAGTTCACCCATTATTATATTCATGAGTTCTTTAGTTGCATTATAAACATAAGAAGATAAGTATGATTGCCAAAGAGACAACTGATATAATAGTACCATGGATGTTTTGTCAATTATACTGAAACCGTGAATATATCTATAGTGTTGCAAAGGTCTGACACACAAAAAGTTTAAATATAGAAGGTAAAAAATATATTGACCAAAAGTGTATTTTCTGGGGTTTTTTATGTTGTTAGGTTGCTGTATCATGGATATATACTCAATCCCTCTTGTATTTACACATATTCATCAACTAAATCTAACACAAATTTCTTTTACAGTTAAGCAGGACCAAATCAAGAGTTAATTTTCTATTTATAGATCCTTGAAGTATCAACAGTAGAAGATAAAGTGGAGAGATTTGATAATGTTGATAGAGTGAAGGGAGTACTCAAAGAGATGCAGTATTATGCATTAATTAGACAGCAGATTAGTAAAAGGTTTGGGCAGAGAAAACTATACATTTCGAAAACTTGTTTTATGCAAGAAATAGAAACTTTGCAATGGTTGTGAAAAAAAGCCAAATTATTATTGTAAATTCAGAAATTCAAGCAATGTTTTCCAATGCTAAAGTTTTAGACTGAGTATACCTTTTGATAAGAACAGGCATCTTACAAATAAGGGCTTTATGAAATTTGGAATTAAGATTCATTTGAAAATGCTATATAATACTGTTAAGCGTTTTCACACACACTTAACTTCATGTTTACTGAATACAATAGCTCACAGTTCAACTTGTCCATACAAAATCTGGTGGTTTGAAACAGATATGTAAGACATAATTCAAAAATTTAAGTATTATTTTTGACAGAATAATGTCTCGTGAGCATCTTTAGGGTGTTATTTCATACATTTTTAAGGCTTTAATTTTTCTTTTAGTTCATGGCTCAAAGAAATCTTATACTGTCACCTTTATATTGCATTTTTAGCTGATGAGTGAATGTTATCATTTTTGTCACATGGCTAGTTAAAAGTGGCAAAATATCAGAAAATGGAAAATGGAAAATCAAAGAATTTTTTTTTTAAGTACAAAATTCACACTAACATACTTGATTGCATTGCAGCATCTTTTAATCTAATCCTTAAACTTTCAAATATGTTTATTTTGGACAAGTAAAAATTGTTAATTTTTAATTTTTTTTATTTATTTCAGAAATATGAGTAAAGAGCATGTGTCTTTGTGTCTGTACAGTGATATATCCACATCACCTAGATACACTTTACATATCGTTGACAGTACACAGAATCTCAAACAGAAGTTTGCCATTTTCATTGTGCCACAAGGGAGGTAAATGTAAAGCCTTGTTTCCAAATGATATGTAAATATGTGTTTACCTCTAAGTCTATGATGTTACAATTCATATTCTCCACTCAATGTAACAGAATCTCCTAAAAATTTGGAGTTTTTTTTTTAAATTATATAATACAAACCAACAGAGGTAAACAATTATACTGTCCTTTTTTTAAAGTTTCATTGATAAGATTTAAAAAGTATGCACAGGTCATCATTTTTAAACACAAATTTTCATTCTTAACCTATAAATTTTTAATCCTTTTCAAAAAGAATATGAAGGCCCAATACAAGATGTCTTTCAGCTATTTGTGAAATTTGAGTTACTGTCTCTCTGATGCATACCCCAGATCTTCCTTTATGCTTATAAAAATGTATAATTTACAATAAATATCAGTAAGGTTAAATTGCTATCTACCAAAAGGACTAGATTTAAGTGGGAATGACATCACCCTAGAGAGAAGAATCAAACCAATGTTATCTTCAGTAATGACAAGATTAACTGACTCAACACGCCATTTAGTAGTCATATGGAAAATCAGTTAGTTGGGACATTGATGTAGTATCCTCTTCATTCACAGCATAAAAAAGTCATGGGAAGACAAACAAATACTATGTTATCATTATACAGCAATAACATCATACAAAAAATACTTTGATTTTAAATTAGTTTGTGTTTTGTTTGTAGAGAAACAGATTGGCTGTTTGCAACAGAAGCTGGTAGGAAGCAGCTTTCAGATTCTGCAGGATTTGAAAGACTTATTGTTGTATGTTTACATCGAGATCATACATACACTGATTTGGATAGTATAAAAACAGAACTTTCCTCTAAAGTTATGGAGTTGACACCCCCAAATTTCAAGATAGGAGTACAGGTAAAATCTTGACATAAATATTTTTCACTTTTTATATGATTACATAATTTTAAGTCTCTTGAGTAGAGAAATATCATGACACACTCCTACAGAGGTAGAATCATTTGAAATCATTGGTGAGATGCTTTAAACATAAGAGTTATCTCCCTTTTACCAACCAAAAAACATAATATATTTCATACTGTTTTTGACATTCATTATCTATAGAACTACCTATGTATCTAGTCCTTATTATACCCAGAGGCATATTGGGCAAGGACTAGATCTTTCCACTCATCTCTGTTCTGTGCTGTCTTTTTTATCTCACCCCCGCTGATTCCCTTTAGTATACTAGTAAAACTGTTATCTAAATTACATTAAACTCTAATTTTGATGTGACGAATGCATAATGTGGCTAAGAGGTTCAGTGTTCTGGTGTTAGTCAGAAGATTTTTATCATGATTCATTTTAAACTTTAGGTACCATTCTTGTCCCTGGGACAGGATATTGGTAACAGACATATTAAGTGTAAAGGACACAGTGATATGAGTGGAGAGTATGTTATAGAAGATGTGGAGGTGGATGGAGATATGTACAGGAGACTGATATTCTCCTCTAATCCTAACATTGTACAGTCAGAGGCAAAGCTTAAATCAGGTTTATATTTGATATATTTAAAAGTTATATCCTTTTCTCTATTTGAAATCCATATTTTTTGTTGTTTAGGAAATAAAATCTATGGTGGATTGCCTATTTTATGATAAGTAAAGAGTGGTAGTTTTTTTCTTCAGATTATGGGTAAACAGAAATTTGATTTTTACTTCCAACGAGACAGCAACCCAACATCCAACATAACCACCTATTAGCTTCCTATTGATTTTATATGATTTTGAATTAAGTAAGGGACTTATGGAATAAAAACTAGGCAAGTTTTCATAAGGCCAACTAAAATTAAATAGTAGATTTTCATCCAGATTTTTGAAAAAAATTGGGTGGGTGGGAGGATTGTATTTTTTAATTTTTATGTCCTCCGAAACCCTTTTGTAATGTGTTCTTCGTATTCAAGCGTAATAATAAACTTATATCATTTATATATAAGGAATTCTACAAAATTTTTAAATTCTTAAATAAATATTTCTGATTGGCAACCACTGTTCTACATTGCCGCTTAAGAAACCTATTTTCATTTAATACCAGGAACATGGAGAAATGCTCTCTTTTAGACTACCCAGTACACTAAACTTATTTTGCTTTCTAAACTATGCTTTATAGTCCCCATGAAATGAAGGATATGCATTGGTATGCAACACAAGTATTATGATTACAGAGTGAAATGAAAACTCAAACTGTGTTGAAAATACTTTTAAGATTCTTATGCAAGATGCAAATATAATTTCAATGTAAAACGATGAACTTAACCAAAAAGAAGAAGTTGTTTAATGACTCTATTGAGGGGCTGTGGACAGTGGGTGTTTGCTGTTTGTCAATAAAAAACGACAGCCTTGGGGTAAATCTAAGGGCTTGCTATAATACATTGTGTACATTTGCTGACTTTTTTGGGTCATAATTCACACAAGCACGAACTTGTGCGAAGTTCGTGCTTGTGTCAATTTATTTATTCCAGTCATGTTTTTGTACCAATGTGTTCCAGGAGTCTTGCGCTTTGAATATCATTCACAGTCCAAATTTCCTAGAAAAATCCACAGTTTTCCATAATCGCTGAAATTTGGGACATGCTGCAATTTGCGTTCTTGGACACCATCAATTACTCATAACCCGAATTTTCCATGCCCTTCCCCTAATCAATCTCTATTTTCGGAAGATAATGCTTGCATCATGGAGTAGCAGAACTTGTCGACTTAATTATTTTGGTAAAATTATTGGAAGAAATACTAAAACCGAAATTTTCAATAGGAAGTTTTGAATGAAACGAAATTTCAGGTTACGGAATTGAGCAAAATCCGAAAATCATAAACTTTTAAAAATAAAAAAAATCTGTGCAGGACCATTTCAGAGGGGCGGGCAGGGATGAAAATCTATCAATTAATTTTAATTGGCCTAACTTGAATATGATTTTGAAAATCCTTAGACATTTTAAGATTTTTTTATTGAATTATGCTTTGGTGTCGAGTAGATAGTTGACTCATTAGCAGATATACTGCATCTCCCTTTTTTTTAGACAAATTGTCATATGTCTCACTTTCATGTTTCCTGATGAAATTTTTACATTCTGTTTTATTCATTCAATAACATGTATATGAAATCTACATTCAGTGTCCACTCTTACTGAGTTGTGGATAGTTGGATCATGGGCTCTTGGCACAATTGTTTACTACATTTATGTTTATCTATTTTATAAATTATAGAGACACCAGTGACATTTGGAATGAATCATTTAGATAAAAATATTTTCTTTTGGCAGTAGGAAAGAAAAAAGGAAAGAAAGCAGGGAAGCTAATTATAGATCCAGATTATTTGGCTTGTCAACATCATATTTCTATGATAGCTGGTCTTGGATTTGTCCCAGATATTCATCAGTTGAAAGGTAAGTTAAACATTTAAAAGTTATAACAATTGCTGATGGCATCTTAGATAGACACCATATGTTATTCTAACAGTGTTGTAATTGTAAAAAAAAGTTTCACAAAATAAACAATGCAGAAGTTAATGTGACAAGACTATCCATATTCATAACAGGTTCAATTTTCCCATTGATATTTGGATTGCTGTTGCTTAAGCATCTTTGTATTTCCTTATTTAGCAACTATAGTCATGCTTCAATTGTAAAGCAAATTTTGGCCAATGAAATATTGTCCCCAATACAATAGTTAATGATTATGTATCATGATATGGTGTCCTCATCCATGAAATAATGTCCAGAGAAGGACAATATTTCATAGTCTGATAGTACTGCATGAAATTTTGTCTTGTGAATGGAGGTTATGAAAATTAATATTTTGGACAATGATACCATTAAAGTGTTTTTTTCATTGATAATAAAAAAACATATATTATAAGTGATCATCAGTACTTTATAACTAAACAGTATAATATGGTACAATTAACATATTTGACTTAAATCATTCATAAATGAAAATTTGAAATCTAAAATATCAGCTGCCAGCCACAATGTGAACATTTTTGGTGAGTGAGTGCAGCAAATGAGCAAAAAAGCTTCACATTGTGACAAGCAGCTGATATGTTAATGTATCTATACACAGAAAACCTGATTATCTGTTTATCAACTTTACACATGTATTCCCCATTCCAAACTAAAAGACAAATTGAAAGAGTTGGTCATGCTTTGTTTCATAAAAAAGAATGGCTTATGTAGATACAAGTTTCTTGGCTTAGGGAGGGATAAATCGTACTTTGTAAAAATTGTAAAAAATCACACTGATTCAAACAAAAAATTCTCTAACACTGACATTATCAAGATGCTTGATTTCTTAATTGACAACATATTTGTTATGTTTGGAGGACATATTTTTCAACAAACAATAGGCATTCCCATGGGAACCAATTGTGCTCCTCTTCTTGCTGACTTGTTTTTATACGCCTGTTTACGGGACGTATTATGGTATACCTTTGTCCGTCTGTCCGTCCTTCGTCAACATGTCGGACATTAACTCAAAAACGCTTTAACCAATTTGCATAAAACTTTGGTGAATTGTTTATTTCTATTGACGTGAGCTCCCTTTCATTTTTTATAAATTTTAGATTTTACGTTTCCGACTTATGGGGTTTTATTCATTAAAAAAAGGGGGATTTTCCAGTTTTCAGACAATAACTCAAGAATGTTTTCACCAACTTGCAAGAAATTGTGGTGAATTGTTTATATCTATTGTCATGAGCTCCCTTTCAATTTTTATATATTTTAGATTTTACGTTTCCGAGTTACAGGGTTTTATTCATAAAAAAAGGGGGATTTTCCAGTTTTTGGACAAAAAATCAAAAATGCTTTCAGCAGTTCTTATGAAACTTTGGTGAATTGTTTATATCTATTGATGTAAGCTCCATTTAGAATTTTATAAATTTTACATTTTACATCTCTGAGTTATGGGGTTTTATTCATTAAAAAAAGGGGGGATTTTCCAGTTTTTGGACAATAACTCAAAAATGCTGTCAGCAATTCTCCTGAAACTTTGGTGAATTGTTTATGTCTATTGATGTAAGCTCCCTTTACATTTTCATAAATTTCTAATATGACATTGAGAATTAATTGAACTTTAATTGTTTATAGTCTGACAACAGATTTACTAAGTATTGCGCAACAGCACAGTGTATTGCACAACAGCAAGAAATCTTTAATTGAATATAAATTCAATTCATATAACCAATTTCAAGTTCTTTGACTACATTTATTCAGAAACCTATAATTTGTCAAATATTTAATACAATCCAAATTCAGACCTGTATCAAGCTTGAATTTTGTGTCCATTTTTTGCCCCAACTGTTCAGGGTTGGACCTCTGCAGACGTATCCAGCTGCGCTCAGCGAAGTAGTTTATTTTTTCATATGAGGCTGACATCATACAGGAACTTCTTAGGAAGAAAGAAAAGAAGTTAGCGGTATCCTTTTACTTCACTTTCCGCTATATAGATGATGTTCTCTCACTAAATAATTCAAAATTTGGTGACTATATTGAACACATCTATCCCATCGAACTTGAGATAAAGGATACAACAGATACAGTTAAGTCTGCGTCATGTCTTGACTTACATCTAGAAGTTGACAATGAGGGTCGGTTGAAAACAAAAGTTTACGACAAAAGAGATGATTTCAGCTTCCCAATTGTGAACTTTCCATTTCTATGTAGCAACATTCCAGCAGCGCCTGCATACAGAGTATATATCTCCCAGTTGATACGATATTCCAGGGCTTGTGTTTCCTATCATGATTTTCTTGATAGAGGGTTGCTGCTCACAAGGAAGCTTTTAAACCAAGAGTTCCAAGTGGTGAAGTTGAAGTCATCCCTTCGTAAATTTTACAGATGCCATCACAAGTTGGTTGACCGTTATGGAATATCTGTTTCACAGATGAAGATGGATATGTTCCAATTGTCGTAACTACAATCTCATCCCTTTCCCCTGAATGTGACCTACCGAATTAGACATATCACAGGGTTTGTACTTACATGAGCAACACAACAGGTGCCACATGTGGAGCAGGATCTGCTTAACGTTGTGGAGCACCTGAGATAACGCCCAGTTTTTGGTGGGGTTCGTGTTGCTCAGTCTTTGTTTTTTATGTTGTTTTGTGTACTGTTCTTTGTCTGTTGGTCTTTTTCTTTTTTAGTCATGGTGTTGTCAGTTAATTTTCGACTTATGAGTTTGAATGTCCCTTTGGTATCCTTCACCTCTCTTTTATCATGCTTTTTCTGGTATTTAGGCTTGACAAAAGTAAGCTTGATAATGTCTCCTCACACATTGTGATATTGCTGATAACTTCTCATTGGACATTGTGATGTAGCTGATAAGTTCTGCTCAATTCTCAAAGCCTTGATACAGAAATTGCAGAGTGACTGAGCAGGTTTTAATATAGGCGATGGGAAGGATGATAAAATTAGTTATCAATTGCTAACAGTTCACCTTACTGTAAAATGTCTTCTACATACCTCTTATAGTAATAGAAGTATTTAGTATTATCAATGTCCTTATATTCATTTTTGTCTTTTATATAATTGTGGTTTGTGGGAGTTATTTTGCAGATTTAAATTTTGCAGTTTCGGTACTTGACATTTAAATTTGTTGATTGTACAACTTATTGCTTGTATTATCAACAATCAATACATGTATTAATGTTTTCATATTGATGAAGTAATCATACCACATCCTAATTGCATGTGTATCAAATGAACAACATTTTTGATGCAAGAACATATTCATTTTATGTTTTGTTTCTTTTATTAGATGGAAAACTAAGTGCTTTGTTGATTGGTCTTGGAGGAGGAGGCCTAGCTACATTCTTACATCAACATTTTAAACAGGTTGGTTATATAACACCTTTATGTATATTCTATTTTCACTTTGCTTGGGAAAATGCAACTGTAGTTGAAATTTGAAAGTTATGATATGTCTGTCCTTTACAAGTCTTTTAGAGCATATTGTTCAGTGGTTGTCGTTTGCTGGTGTGGTTCATAAGTGTTTCTCGTTTCTCGTTTTTTATATAGATTAGACAGTTGGTTTTCCTGTTTGAATATATGTTATAGCTTGCTGTTCGGTGTGATCCAAGGCTCGGTGTTGAAGGCCGTACTTTGCCCTATAATTGTTTACTTTTTACACATTGAGACTTGGATGGATAGTTGTCTCATTGGCACTCATACCACATCTTCTTATTTATATTTTATGATATCCCAAGCTCATGGAGTAGTTGGTATACTGCATCCAAACATGTCTGTCTGTTTGTCTGTCCTTAACTTTTGCTACATATTACTCAGCTTCATTATCAAGGAATGATTTGATATTCAGAAACTTTATTATGATGAGTTGTACTATGCAAGCAATATTCAGATCTGTTGGGCAGTCAATTCCTATTTGACAATTCTTTAATTTCTTATTGCAACACATTTTGATATATTTTTAGCTCACCTGGCCCGAAGGGCCAAGTGAGCTTTTCTCATCACTTGGCGTCCGTCGTCCGTCGTCGTCCGGCGTCGTCCGTCGTCGGCGTTAACTTTTTACATTTTGAACTTCTTCGAGAGAACCACTGAATGGAATGAAACCAAACATGGCATGAATGTTCCTTATGAGGTGCTGACCAAGTGTTGTTACTTTGTAGCCGATCCATCATCCAAGATGGCCGCCAGCGGGGGACTTAGTTTAACATAGGACCCTATGGGAAATGCATACAAATGACTTCTTTTAGAGAACCACTGAATGGAATGAAACCAAACATGGCATGAATGTTCCTTATGAGGTGCTGACCAAGTGTTGTTACTTTGTAGCCGATCCATCATCCAAGATGGCCGCCAGCGGGGGACTTAGTTTAACATAGGACCCTATGGGAAATACATACAAATGTCTTCTTTTAGAGAACCACTGAATGGAATGGAACCAAACATGGCATGAATGTTTCTTATGAGATGTTGACCAAGTGTTGTTACTTTGCAGTCGGTCCATCATCCAAGATGGCCGCCAGCGGGGGACTTAGTTTAACATAGGACCCTATGGGAAATGCATACAAATGACTTCTTTTAGAGAACCACTGAATGGAATGAAACCAAACATGGCATGAATGTTCCTTATGAGGTGCTGACCAAGTGTTGTTACTTTGTAGCCGATCCATCATCCAAGATGGCCGCCAGCGGGGGACTTAGTTTAACATAGGACCCTATGGGAAATACATACAAATGTCTTCTTTTAGAGAACCACTGAATGGAATGGAACCAAACATGGCATGAATGTTTCTTATGAGATGCTGACCAAGTGTTGTTACTTTGCAGTCGGTCCATCATCCAAGATGGCCACCAGCGGGGGACTTAGTTTAACATAGGACCCTATGGGAAATACATACAAATGTCTTCTTTTAGAGAACCACTGAATGGAATGAAACCAAACATGGCATGAATGTTCCTTATGAGGTGCTCACCAAGTGTTGTTACTTTGTAGCCGATCCATCATCCAAGATGGCCGCCAGCCGGGGACTTAGTTTAACATAGGACCCTATGGGAAATGCATACAAATGACTTCTTTTAGAGAACCACTGAATGGAATGAAACCAAACATGGCATGAATGTTCCTTATGAGGTGCTGACCAAGTGTTGTTTCTTTGTAGCCAATCCATCATCCAAGATGGCCGCCAGCGGGGGACTTAGTTTAACATAGGACCCTATGGGAAATACATAAAAATGTCTTCTTTTAGAGAACCACTGAATGGAATGGAACCAAACATGGCATGAATGTTCCTTATGAGATGCTGACCAAGTGTTGTTACTTTGCAGTCGGTCCATCATCCAAGATGGCTGCCAGCGGGGGACTTAGTTTAACATAGGACCCTATGGGAAATACATACAAATGTCTTCTTTTAGAGAACCACTGAATGGAATGAAACCAAACATGGCATGAATCTTCCTTATGAGGTGCTGACCAAGTGTTGTTACTTTGTAGCCGATCCATCATCCAAGATGGCCGCAAGCTGGGGACTTAGTTTAACATAGGACCCTATGGGAAATACATAAAAATGTCTTCTTTTAGAGAACCACTGAATGGAATGGAACCAAACATGGCATGAATGTTCCTTATGAGATGCTGACCAAGTGTTGTTACTTTGCAGGCGGTCCATCATCCAAGATGGCCGCCAGCGGGGGACTTAGTTTAACATAGGACCCAATGGGAAATACATACAAATGTCTTCTTTTAGAGAACCACTGAATGGAATGAAACCAAACATGGCATGAATGTTCCTTATGAGGTTCTGACCAAGTGTTGTTACTTTGTAGCCGATCCATCATCCAAGATGGCCGCTTGCCGGGGACTTAGTTTAACATAGGACCCTATGGGAAATACATACAAATGTCTTCTTTTAGAGAACCACTGAATGGAATGAAACCAAACATGGCATGAATGTTCCTTATGAGGTGCTGACCAAGTGTTGTTACTTTGCAGTCGGTCCATCATCCAAGATGGCCGCCAGCGGGGGGCGTAGTTTAACATAGGACCCTATGGGAAATACATACAAATGTCTTCTTTTAGAGTACCACTGAATGGAATGAAACCAAACATGGCATGAATGTTCCTTATGAAGTGCTGACCAAGTGTTGCTACTTTGTTGCCGATTTACTGTTCAAGATGGCCACCAGGATATTTTATTAAATAACAGGACCAATATTAATCAAAATTTGGCCTCAATCATTATTTGGGTATCTGTTATGATTTTTATCTATCTTTACATGATTTCTAAAACCAAAGTAGAGTCAGGTGAGCGACACAGGCTCTCGAGAGCCTCTAGTTGTCAAAAACTTTCAATTTTGTTCTGATTCTTTTTTGTCTAAAAATGGACACTATTAATTGTTATTTTTGGCTTCATTAAGCTGAAGTTCCTTGGGATAAATTCATTGAGCATGGCAAAATCAGCATCAATCATGTCATCTTTTGTTACTAGTATTCAAACATATACTCCATGAAGCATATCAAATACTCCCAGTGTCATTACAGTCTGTATGGCCTTTTAAGTTCCAAGCCAAATGTATTGCAACCTGGTCTTTTGAGTATTTCACCCTTTGTTTTTCTATTTCAGATAAATCTGAGTGTTGTTGATATAGATGATGCTATGGTTAATATAGCAACCAATTGGTTTGGTTTTGTTCAGGATGAACTCCTCACTGTACATGTTAGTGATGGATTAGAATTGGTTAAGAAGGAAGTAGAAAATGGTATGAATTTGTTAAGATGATATTTTATATGATTACCTGATCTTGTTATTAACAAAATGACTATATAAAATTGACAAGCAGTTCAAACAAGTGAAAAAGGTAAATCTTACAACTATAGATTATAAAATGACAATGCTATGATGAAAAAGAGATGTGGGATATATGTCCATGATGCAGCAACCTACCATCAGTGAAATGACAATGCTATGATGAAAAGGAGATGTGGGGTATATGTCCATGAGGCAGCAACAAAGCAAACAAAAAAGAAAACATGTAGAGGTCTGTATACTAATTTCAAAAGTAGACAAGTGTTTAATAATAATAGAGCTGAAAAAAGTCCTACAATAGAAGAGATGGTTTATGTCATTTCTTTGTTAGAGAGTGGCCAATGTTGAAGATGCACTTAGATCCAGATGAGCAACACAGGTTCCTTAGAACCTCCAGTTATTTTTTTATTTGATTGATTTTCGGCTTTACCAGAGCAAAAAATAGACCTGACTTTATCTGTGTAATTTGTTGAGTCAGGTATCAAAGTGTGATCTTTTCTCACAATTGTTTTGACATAATTTTTGTCTCGCCTTGACGGAGTCAAAACGCGAGACATAGGTATGCTGTTTCCGGCGTCGGCGTCAACAATGCATTAGTTTGTAATAAGGTCTAGTTTATGGTGAACCACTAGTGGTAGGTCAATGATATTTGGTATGCAGTTGTATAAGCATTGGCATATCTCATTTCCATGGAGAATATTTGGCTCCGCCCCCTTAGTCATGGTGTATAGACTTCGAAAATTTTGCTAAGTTAACATGTATTAGTTTGTGATTAGGTCAGTTCAAGGGGAACCATTAGTGGTAGGCCAATGTTAATTGTTGTTCAGTTGTATAAGCATTAGCACATCTCATTTCCATGGAGAATATTTGGCCCCGCCCCCTCAGTCATGGTCTATTGACTTTGAAACTTTTGCTTAGTTTACATGTATTAGTTTGTGATTGGATCAGTTTAAGATGAACTGCTAATGTTAAGTCAATGATATTTGGTATGCCAATGTATTGGCATTTGCAAGTATCGTTTCCATGGAGATTATATAGCCCCACCCCTGATCATGGTTCATTGACTTTGAAACTTTTACATAGTTTACAAGTTAATGTTTGTGTATAAGTTTGTTTAAAGGGAACGACTTATAATAAGTCGATGGTATTTGGTATGCAGTTGTATTAGCATTGGCACATCTCATTCCATGGAGATTGTTTAGCCATGTACCTTCAGTCATGGTTCATCAACTTGAATATTTGCATAACTTACATGTTAAAGTATTGCTATTTTAATTTCAACATTTGCATTATCAAAATTACAAAAAGGCGAGACATATCTCTGTGATAACAGTTTATTTATCAACTAAAGGTTTGAAACGTCATGTGATTATGTTGGATGTTGACAGTAAAGATACTTCTGTTGGTATGAGTTGTCCGCCACAGGCATTTGTCGAAGAGGAATTTCTGCTCAACTTAAAGAAACTACTTAACAATAATGGTAAGGTAGACTGGGAAATATTACATTGTTATATAATATCTTAAGAAGACAAATTATAATGTTTGTTGCACCTCAAGTAATGTATTTGTAACAACAAAGTCCTAACATCATCTACTGTTGCTCTCATCATTCCAAGCAATGAACTTCCTAGTCAATAAACATCCTGAAGTGTGTACTTTGAAAGTTTAGTCATTGGACTTTGTTTTTACTATGGGAATAAATGACTAACTAGTTTGATAATTAAAATAGAAATTAAGGGATAACTACCATTAATCACTTTTTTGTCAGAAATTAAACATACCCTTTTGAAACTAATTAAGAAGGTTTTAAACCTGATAACAGCTGGCAATACTTAAAAGGAAAATATTTTAAGGAAAATTATTTTTGATGCCCCCGCAACTAAAAGTTGGAGGGCATATTGTTTTATCCCTGTCTGTCCGTCCATCTGTCCCATTATGGGCATATAGTTATTCCACATAACTTCTCCTACAGTTTGAATGCTAGGAAGTTTTCACTATGCTGGCTGTTTGCACATATATTGAATGTGTGCATGTGGTCAGGGTTTTGATTTTTATTAATATTTGCTCTTTTGGGAGATATTTGAACTTTGTCATTTTTATATGACCGCAAAAAAATTTTGTGGTCAGATATTGGTATGACGTTGGCGTCGTCGTCGTCCGAAGACACATTGGTTTTCGCACTCTAACTTTAGTTTAAGTGAATGGATCTCTATAATATTTTACCATAACGTTCAATACCACAAAAGGAAGCTTGGGATTGATTTTGGGGGTTATGGTACCAACAGTTAAGGAATTAGGGGCCAAAAAGGGGCCAAAAATTAGCATTTTTATAACTTCCAGACATAAATTGTGTGTTAGTGTATGGATCTCTCTGACATTGTACCACAAGGTTCCATATCACAAAGGTAATGCTGGGATTGATTTTGGGGGTAATTGCCTCAAAATTTTAGGAATTAGGGGCCAAAAAAGGGGCAAAAAACAAGCATTTTTCTAGTTTCCGGACAATAACTTGTGTGTAAGTGTATGGATCTTTATGAAATTGTACTACAAGGTTCCATATCACAAAGGGAAAGCTGGAATTGAGTTTGGGGGTAATTGCCCAAAACGTTTAGGAATAAGAGGCCAAAAAGGGACCAAAAATAAGAATTTTTCTAGTTTCCAGACAATAACTTGTGTTCAAGTGTATGGATTTCTCTGAAATTGTACTGCAAGGTACCATACCACAAAGGGAAGGCTGGGATTGATGTTGGGGGTAATTGCCTCAAAATTATAGGAATTAGGGGCAAAAAACAAGCATTTTTCTAGTTTCCGGACAATAACTTGTGTGTAAGTGTATGGATCTTTATGAAATTGCACCACAAGGTTCCATATCACAAAGGGAAAGCTGGGTTTGAGTTTGGGGGTAATTGCCCTAAATGTTTAGGAATTTGAGGCCAAAAAGGGGCCAAAAAACAAGCATTTTTCCAGTTTCCAGACAATTACTTGTGTTCAAGTGTATGAATCTTTCTGAAATTGTACTGCAAGGTAACATACCACAAAGGGAAGGCTGGTATTGAGTTTGGGGGTGATGAATCATAAGGGGGTTCAAAAAATTTGGGGGGGGGATTTTTTTTTCCCTTTTTTTTCTTTAAATTTTTCCCTTTTAAATTTGTTATTTCTGATTTATATATAAAAGCAAATAATAATGATATGGTTTGAATAGGTAAATTAAAAAATTTTAAGTTCTTATTTGTATTTTAAAATAACAGTTTGCATCTGCGGGGACATCATTTGTGTCTCCCAGACACAATAATATCTCAAAGAAAGTCCTACATTGACTTTGTTATATTACAGTTACTTCAAAGTGGAGTGCAGGGGCATCACTTTGTCTAGTTTTAATCATGAAACATAGATGATTTGACTAAAGGCTACTTAAAAAGACTAAATACTAAGTGGAAATATTAATAAAACAAGACGTAAACAATGAGACATGAACCCCAAAAAAATTGGGAAGACATTTATCAGCAGTTTTGTTGAATTCAATGTTCATCTGAATTGTACAGCATTATTTTTTTCAGGAGTATTGATATTAAATCTGGTTTGCCGGGATGAAGATATGAAAAAGAATGTGATTAAGCGTCTTACAGAAATTTTTCATCAGGTTGTAGTGAAAGATATTGAGGAAGAAGTCAATCAAATAGTTTATGCACAAAATAGGACAGAACAGACTAACAGTGAAACAGGTTGGACTAATGACACATGTGATAACAGTGCTATGAAGAATCCACCAACTTTAATAAGTCCTGAAACATCAAAATATTTGAATTCTTGTGTAAAAGGAACTGATATTGATCTTTCAGATCAGTTTAAAAATATGATTATTATAGATAGATAAAAAATAAATATTTTTAAAGTGGTGATTTTCTACCTATGTTGCCAGAGGCTAGAGCAGGTCTAGTAATGGTTCCACTCTATGTGTCTGTCTGCCTGAAACACATAGAGGGTACATACTTTGTGTCATGTGAAACTCCCAACAGTTTTCCTTCAACAGTATTTTAACTTAACTAAACTCCTGACAGTTTTCCTTCAGCAGTATTCTAACTAACAATGATTGCAGAAAGAAAGTGTACATCTCCATGTTGGTCAGAATTCAATCATTTTTTCTCCAGTTTCCCATGTTTTGAACATCGTTTTTTCCCCATTGCTATAAAGGGTATCATGTGTAAACATCATCATATGATTTTTTCAGGTTTTTGTTGTTAATTTTTATTTGGGTCAAGTTTCCTTCGGATATTTTAATGGTGTTGGCCATGTTTGGAGTTAGTTAGAGTCATTAACCTTAAATTCTGAAAAAAAAGGATCATATATGTACCATTCAACATGTTTGGAGTTTTTGTCTTGCCTGCGACGAAAGTCATGGAAAGCGAGACATAGGGATTGCTTTTCCGGCAACGACGTGAACAATTGTTAAGTTTTCTACTTAGTTTGATAGGAACTACTTGTGATAGATCATTGATATTTAATATAAAGTTGCATTACTATCAGTACAACTATTTTGAGGCCCCTAGGTCATGGTCCAGTGACTTTGAATTAATTAGCAATTTTCAATGTTAAATTAGTTTGATAGGATCTAGTTGTGATAGATCAATGATATTTTGTATGAAGTTGCATTACTATCAGTTCATATCAGTTTGATGACTATTTCGAGGCCTTGCCCCCTAGGTCATGGTCCAGCCACTTAATAAATATTTTTTTAATGTTAAGTTTTCTGCTTAAGTCAGTTTGATAGGAACTACTTGTGATAGATCAATGATATTTTGTATGAAGTCACATTACTATCAGTACATATCAGTTTGAAAACTATTTTGAGGCACTGCCCCCTTAGACATGGTCTAGTGACTTTGAATTAATTAGCAATATTCAATGTTAAGTTCTCTGCTTAAGTTAAATTGGTAGGAACTACTTACAACGATATTTTGTGTAAAGTTACATTACTGTCTGTACATCTCAGTTTGTAAACCATTTTCAGGCCCTGCCCTCTAGATCATGGTCCAGCAACTGAATTAATAAGTAATGTTGCTGTCCATCAGATTGTCTTTTTTTTTAATTTTATGCCAACAGGTGAGACATATCTCTGTGTCAACAGTTTATTTATCAATTGGTCCTAATATTTTTTTTTTCTTTTTGTAAAATTTTAGAGATGGCTATGTTTGAAGATGGTTCAAGTCATCAACCTATTTCTGAAATTACGTCATAAATGTTTTATTCAAACATAATTACTTAAGATTGTACCATCATTTTTGGCTCACCTGGCTAAAAGTCCAAGTGAGCTTTTCTCATCATTTGGCGTCCGTTGTCCATCACCGTTCGTCTTTGTCGTTGACTTTTACAAAAATCTTCTCTTCTGAAACAACAGGGCCAAATTTAACCAAACTTGGCCACAATCATCATTAGGGTATCTAGTTTGAAAATGTATCTGATGACCGTTTCTGCCAAACAAAATGGCTGATATGGCATAAAATAGAACAAGGTAAAATGCAAGTTTTGTCTATTACCTTGAAAACTGCTATGAATAGAAAAATCTGACAGGTCATAAATGTTCAGAATATTGAGAACTACCTGGTGTCCATTTGCACCAAAACTGTCATGACTGAAATTGTTAGTTAACTCTTTACAGAGTTAATGCCCTTTCATGATGATTTTTACCAAAAAGTGGCCATTGTTGAAGTTGCAGGTGAGCAACACAGAGCCTCTAGTTCTATTTTCTAATAAGATTGGTCAGGTTAACTGGTTCACATGATCATTGGATAAACTTTTTGAACAAAACAGCCTAAGGATTATCAAGGCTATAAGAGAAAAAGGTTTTATAGAAAGTTCATGTTGGAAAGACTGGCAACAGATGACAGATGCTTAATAATGGGAAAAGCTCAATTTGACATTTGATCAAATAAAACAGAAACAAAATAGAGGGATACATACTGAGATAATTCTATTAACACCTAACAACAAATGATAACATAATCTGAATGGTCGGACACTTATGGTTAACCATACCAGATAAACCACCATAAACCTAATTTATCAGGTAAAAAGGTAAAATTATTGATGAAATTCATAAATTATCTATAAAACTAGCATCATCATGGGAACTGTTGATATTTAAAGAATTGAAATGAAACTATGATTAGAATAAAAACTGCCACAGAAAATCCAAACACTCAAGGAAAAAAAAATGAGATTTAAGTAAAAGTTTGTTTATGGGATTGTTTGCACAACACTTCTGGCAATGGTATTCTGTTATCTTTTTGTTTCTCTTATACAATATACAATTTGTATTGACATCAACAACCTTCTAAGATAAACCTTGTTTCTCTAATTCAGTATTTACATCCATTCCCATGTTAATGTGGATTCTTGTGCAGATAACAAGGTCCTGTGCATATTACATAATGCAAGTGACGGTAACTTTGTCATGCGAAAAGATTTGTTGATAAGCTTCAAGTTACAACAAATACCTTAATCATAAATCATCATCTAATATTCAAACTGAAATCATTAATCCTTTATTATTATAAAAACAAAAAAATGGGATGGAATATGAATTGTTCTTTCTGCAAGAATTTTGAGACAATGAGGCTTTAGTTCAGGCTATTGCAGCATGAAAGTTTACTGATTGAATAAATATTTTTTGAATAGATTTCAGAAACTAACTCAAGAATGAAACTGCTCAAAAGCAACAAACAAATATGTCTGTAAGATAAAAATGACAAAGATATGAAGACAAATCAATGCCATTTCAAATTTGTCTGAAATTTAGATCCAAGAAAAAAATAGGATAGAAATCCTGTACTCAGGAAGGATAGAATGAATTACTGTGTATAATACGTATTGTATTACCTCACGGTCAATGTCATAATAAAGAGGTAAAGAGCCGTTCAAAATCTTCATTCCTCAAAAGTCACATTGAATACATACTTGAGAATCTTCTAAATGAGATTTTGAAATAATACTTTTTATATTGAACACATGATTATATCCCACATAACAAAAATGTGTTTGTACCATCTGTCAAATTTCAAATGAAGGTTTCAACTTAAAGCTAACATCAATCAACCTATCAAAACCACAGATAAGTTCTAAAATCAGAAAAATCTCTTTCAGTGACTACTTGAAAAAAAAGTTCAGATTTTTTTGAATGTTAAATTCTCTCATATTATAAGTAATAGGATAACTATATTTGATATGTGTGTACCTTGGACCTTGACCTTGACCTCATTTCATGGATCAGTGAACAAGGTAAAGTTTTCGTGGTCAAGTCCATACCTGAGATACTATAAGCAATAGGTCTACTATATTTGGTGTATGTAATGATAGTAAGGTGTACATGTCCAACTGGCAGGTGTCATCTGACCTTGACCTCATTTTCATGGTTCAGTGGTCATAGTTTAGTTTTTGTGTTTTGGTCTGTTTTTCTAATACTGTATGCAATAGGTCAACTGTATTTGGTGTATGGAAATATTTTACGATGTTCATGTCAGTCTTGCAAGTTTTATTTGACCTTGACCTCATTTTCACAGTTCATTGCTCAATGTTAAGTTTTTGTGTTTTGGTCTGTTTTTCTAATACTGTATGCAGTAGGTCAACTATATTTGGTGTAGGGAAATATTTTACGATGTATATGTCAGTCTGGCATGTTTTATTTGACCTTGACCTCATTTTCAAGGTTCATTGCTAAATGTTAAGTTTTTGTGTTTTGGTCTGTTTTCCTTATACTGTATGCAGTAGGTCAACTATATTTGGTGTATGGAAATATTTAATGATGTACATGTCAGTCTGGAAGGTTTTATTTGACCTTGACCTTATTTTCATGGTTCATTGCTTATGTTAAGTTTTTGTGTTTTGGTCTGTTTTTCTTACACTTTAAGCAATAGGTCAACTATATTTGGTGTATGGAATGATTGTAAGGTGTATATGTCTGTCTGGCAGGTATCATCTGACCTTCACCTCATTTTCATGGTTGATTGGTCAATGTTCAGTTTTCCTGGTTAACTTTTTTTCTTAGATACCTTAAGCAATAGGTCAACTATATTTGGAATGATTTTAATGTGTACATGTCTGTCTGGCAGGGTTCAAATGACCTTGACTTCATTTTCATGGTTCATTGGTCAATATAGAATTTCCATGGTTTGGTCTGTTTCGTTTATACTATAAGCAATAGGTCATCTATATTCTGTGTATGGAGGGATTGTATTGCAGGTGTACATGTATTTCCTGCTTGGTTTACCTGACCTTGACCTCATTTTCTTGGATCATAAATGTTAATGTGATACTTGTAGTAAAACATAATATGTAGGACTATCAACATAAAATAAATGGTCAGTATAGAAGGCGAGACATTTCAGCATGTGCACTCTTGTGCCTATTATCTTGAAAACTATAAAAGATAGGGAGAAACTTTAAATAGCAAACATGACCAAAAACCTTCAGTATTGATGTTAATATTTTGCTTTTTGGGTCAGATTGTTTAACTGATGAAGAAAATTGTACTCTTTTTGTTTTGGTACAGAAATATATATTAAAAAGTAAAAGATTCACACCATAATATGAAAGCTTCATTTACATGTTTTGCTTGCATTTCATATAGCTCATTTCATTCACTTGTTTTTTGTTTGTTTTTTTTTTCTCCCTTTTTTCTCAAACTATATAATCAATCTTATTTTGTATTTACTATTCTTAATATATTCCAATTGACAGAGCATGCTCCAAGTATTTATTGTATTGTATGTCAATATTCTTTTGGAGACAGATTAAAATAAGCAATGTTGCATGTTTCTGGATCCCATTGTTTATACTGTATTATGTTATATAGCACGATTTGACTTATCGAATAAAATATTGTTTAAACCAAACCTTCAGTTGACTGGTTATTGGAGTTATTGCCCTTTAATGATATTTTTTTTTGCATTTTTTGCCTATTATCTTGAAAACTATAAAAGATACAATAGAAACTGTAAAAGGAAACTGATTAGCAGCATAAGATCTATAAATACATCAACATGACTGAAATTGTCAGTCAGCTCTTAATAGAGTAATTTCCCTATTATGATGATTTTTACTAAAAAGTTGCCATTGTTGAAGATGCAGGTAAGGGAAACAGGCTCTTTTAGCCTTTAGTTTAGCCTGAAATGTTCAATTTTCCACTAGGATTTGTATAAAAAGGTGTCCACTGACTAAAGAAGATGATTAAAAACAATCAATTCATTACAAAACAATGTTTATTTCTCAGATAAATGACAAAATAAATAATGATGAAGGTGATCATACAACTATCAGCATTTCTACTCACAAAATTAATATACAGGTTCCTTAAAAAATATATACTAAGTACAAAAAGTATATATTTTGTACAATTAATGTTTCAAAAATATACATTCTTTAAGATGATTATCAATCACAGTTTTTCTATAAGGATTTTTTAATTATTAAAAATCATAATACATTAAATATAATCAACAGATATTAGAAAACAAAGTAAGTGCAACAGTTTTAGTAACTACTTACAGTTCAAAAAGAAATAGGAAATTCCTTCTTTGAAAAACATGAAACAAAGTGAACAGAAATGTTATTAATAAGATTCTAACCACAAGTTCTGACTTTGGTGCCAATCCAGCAAACAATATGGTCATCAGCATGGGCATTTACCTAGACCCAATTGGAAATACACACAACTATCTTCTCAAGAATGATTAATAAATGGAGACTAACATTTAGCACTGGTATGCCTTTTGAGGTCACTACTGGTGTTGTTACTTTGGGATAATAGGTGAACCAAGGTGGACAGAAATGATGGACTGTTTTACATTGGTCTGTATAGAGATTACATACATAAGAAATACATATTCAGCTGAATATAAATTGTCATAAAGAAGTTGTTTTGGTGCCAAGGACTTACCAAAATGGCTGACATTATAGGTGGACAAGAATTTTAAACTTTATGAACAATACTAGCCCAAATAGAGTATCTATACTTTCACTCAGCCAAATACACTTATTATGCACTGTTTTTCATTTATTCTAATGAGAGTCATTTCAAAATAACGAATCGATTATGAATATTAAATCTTTTACAATAAAGTTTAACAAACACAGAGTATTGTTTGATTATATTATTATATGATTTCTACTAGCATGACAAAGCAATAAGCTGAAGCATTTTTAGGACAAGTTTTAATTCTACTTTTCTACAGCCAAGTATTCAACTGGTTGTCTTTAGTGTGAAGTTTTTATCGTTTCATTATAAAATTTCATAAAGCATTATATATAGGTCATTGTTGAAAACAAAATAACTTAAATATAATAATAGTGTAACTGTTGTGAATTTTTTAATATCAGTTTTTGACATTATTAGTGTGAATTGTAGATCTAAGGGTACATTTCAAAACTAAAACTATGAGACTAGTAGACATCTATTTGAATGGACAAATGAAATGAGTGTTTCGATTGATGACAACATAACCATAGTTACCATTCACAACACGACCATAGTTACCATTCACAACATGGAAGTATATTGTTACATTTTGAAAGACAGTGGCTTTGTAATTTTACTGTAAAATTTATTCAGTATAACTGAAAATTTGTGCAGCAGTCTTTGATTTTTAATAAAAAAATACATTTATGGCTTGAAATCAGAGATTAATTTATTAGCAGATTTGTGACTTAAGTGAACTTATGGTTTACTTTTATAAATTGTAACTTGGATGGAGAGTTGTCTCATTGGCACTCATACCACATCTTCCTATATCTATATATTGTGATACAAGATCAATGCCTTTAGATCATTTTTTTTTTACATAAAACCTTATCTAAAAGTCTATCTTTTCACAAGACTTTACTAAAAATTAGCCTGTGGGTACAATACATTTAGTCAATGAGTTTTGGTAGTTCTGCAACAGACTTTAACCTTTAAACTTATTGAAAAATGATCAATAAGGTCTTACCTAGTCTATTTTTCAGCTGTAGTGTTTAGAAATTACCTCCTACAAATGTCCTAGGCCATCTAGATAGTAGTACCTCCTAGGCCATCTAGATAGTAGTACCTCCTAGGCCATCTAGATAGTAGAAACTTTTGTCAAATTTTTAATTAGATTTTATTATTGGGTTTAATATTAATTTTGATTCTATAAATTGTACAAAAAGTTTATTTTAAAACCAAAATATTATTCATTATTTGTAACCTGTACTTAAGGCTGTATTTTGTGGATCCAAAATGGATAACTAAATATCCAGGTGTAGCTAAATAGATCCTATCAATTTTAATTAATGTTTTTTTTCAAAAAGGCCTATGAAGCATTTGGGAGCTAAATGTGTACATTTCATATTTATTTCTCAAAACAACTATCATACATTAATTAGATGTTTGACAGCATAACAAACAATGATTGTCCTTACGATTGGGTTGGTCACAACAAAAGATTTATATAGTACTCGTTCTACACAAATATTTTGTTACAAGTGTGCTAATGTGCCTCTTTTGCGATGTACATTTTCAACATGAAACTCATACACTATAACTTTGTGTTAGAAAAAATGAAAAATATCACATCTTTGATATATATTTAATCCTTGTGTATACTTATAACAGATTACCCTAATTTGTGACTTCTGTAAAGTCTGTTTATTATGCTGAAATAAATTAGGAAAACAAAAAACAAAGAAATAAAAAATAAAAAAGCTTTTTTATGCATTAATAATTGCTTGAAGATGGAAAAAAAATTGAACTCTAGTTCAATTCTCATCATTATAAATTAGTTATTTAGATGCACAAAAATTTACAAGTATACCACAAGAAAATTGATTTAATTTCCTAGTTTTGTATTAACACAGTTTTAAAACTATATGTATTTATCATGCTCAGTAACAGGCCCTTAATTGGAGTTAATAAAGTATTTGTATCAAAAACATAAGTTTGGGAGATATATCGAAAACACAGTCGTATATTATTTGTTAGATTTTAATATATTAATTAATTTTATCCTTTAATCATTAAAAGTGCTTTGATTATCTATTTATATTGCTCAACATCATGAACATAGTCAGTTTTAAAGCTGTGTTAATATAAACAAGGACATTTTTTTTTAATTTAAAATAAGTATGAATTTCCCTTTTATAACATTTGTATTATCATTTAAATCATTTTTCATGTTAATCATATATCAGCTAAACATTAAAATGCTTTAAACAGTTTTAATGTCAAAATTTTTATAACTGAACAAATTATTTCAATATGCAATGGAGTGTGACCTAACTCCTCCATGACAGCCAAATTACATGATTTTTTTATGTACTGAGAGAAATTGTAGAACTTTATAAATAGTTTCTCATAATCAAAGTAACTAAATTTCTTCTCAATCTGGAAGCATTAAAAGTACAAGTACTCTAAATTTAGAGCCATACATCAAAATTTGCTTTTTGTTTTATGAATATTCAATAACGTTCTACATGACAAAGCTTACAACAACTTGATATATGTGCTAAAAAGATGAGGTTCATGGCAATACATTCCATTAAAGTAAATCAGATATTTTCAACATGTGTATTTCCTTGTTTTAATTTCATTTTACTGGTATAAAAACAAAGCTCCTACCTAATTTAACGACAAATGATGTAAATTTTACTTGATATAGGTAGTTTTATTTTTTTAAATATATGTATACAAAGCAATTTATGCCTGTGAAATTCATTACTATGACGGAAACTGTCTAAAAAAATTTTGCTTTTGATATAGTGCTTTAAAAGTAATCTATTGATGTCTACTTCTTAAAAAAAAAAACACACAGTCGAGCAGTCTAGTAGTTTGTCTGTCACAGCTAACTTGGATAAAATTTGTAATAAAAGTGAAAATAAAATAATAGTACCAATGAACTAACACGTACATTAAGTTTGACCATTTCCTGAACAAAATCAAAATTTGACAAACTTCATAGGAAAATATGACAAATATAATAAAGAATTTAGTCAAACTTTGTACTGTAAACACAACAGACTCACAGTTTACATGCAGGTCACAATAACTCTCATAGCTAAAACACTAACTTCCTAGAGTTACACTGTACAAGGTTCTGTTCTTTACAGGTCTATTTTACAAAAGTTTTCACTGATAAGGTTTATGTAATTATTACTCACACGGCAGTCAAGGTTTCAGCTAAAAATTGGCCAGAATTTATAATACTTTTTGATAAAAATATCAGTTGAATAATTTTGGACATTGATTAATTCATAAAATACTTTGAATGCACCAGATACAGTGTATTTGTTCAACAAACATCTCAATAAGGACTGGCACTAGAATCGTGAGAAAATATGGAACAGTTTCATCTGACATACATGTAATTATTGCATTCCTCTTGTTACACGTATATAATGTGACTGAGTGATTTAATAATTTAAGTTCATTAACACAGTATTTTTTCTGCCTTAAACTTCACATAACATTGATTTCTGTAACAGAGCCAAGATATCGTTGTTTAATGAATATCTATTTAAAATGTAAATAAAGTCATTTATATGCATTATCAAATATGGTTTGAAATATTACACAATTGAGCTGAATAATCTTTAACCATATCAATTCTATCTAATTTTTTCAAAAATTATGTTTGTTTTACATCATTAAACTGATAATGTAAATTGTAACACAACATTTTGTCAATAGTAACATCTTGATATAAATTTGTTCAACAACAAAATATTTTCTACCATTCTAATGAATCCTTTTGAAACTTCAATCTTGGACTGTGTTCTGAGTAGAATTGTGAATACCATCTACGGTGTTTTCCTATCAGACTGTCCTCAGCTGACTTAACAAACAATGGTTTGTTCAAATATCTTTTATTATTCCATATCATTATATCTCTCTCAACCTGAAAAAAGCAAACTTTAGGATTAATTTATACCAAACCTTTAATATAAAAATAAGGAGATGTGGAATAATTACCAATGAGACAATTATCCTTCCGAGTTTATCTGTTAATTAAGTTTGCACGCTGTCAACAGTTAGTGTATCACATACAGTTTCACGGTGATAATTAACTTACTTTTAGTCAATTAAATTTCATATGTGATCTAATGATGCCGAAATGTAATTATTTTCAATCCCTAAACAATATTTGAACTCGACACGACAAAGTAGTACAGTAGGCGTGTTAGGTTCATGTCATGATGTGGCCAATAATTAATTATATCCTAAATCAGAGTGGAATCTGGTTTGTGAAATGTCATACTAAAAAAAGATTAGGTGTCAAATGGAACCAAGAGATAATTATATGAAAGTGATGGAAAGACTTCCTTTTGAACCCCCTGGGTTAATGGAATAAGCCTAGTCATACATGAAAGGGTTCAAAGGAGTGTTTGTTAAAACTTTGATAATTTTGATACTTTACTGAAGCCAGAACTCACTGTAGGCCAAAAAAATTAATTGTGCTATCTACATTGGAAAAGATACCTCTACTTAAAACAATTTGAACATGTTGTCTATTTGTATACAACTTCTCCTAAACACATTGAGATCCCAGTGGTTCAAAATTGGTAATATAGATTTTCCTGCAACTTATGTACTTTGATAATAGGTTTAACCCATGGTTCGATATATCACAGATTTACAAATGTTTTATATTTTATTGGCCTTCAATAATTGACATGTTAACAGTATTCTACATTGTCTGTTAATTCTCACTCAATTTGAACTTAGTTTTATATTACATATGAATTGTTATCTGAAGTGGAACTTAATAAATAGTTAATCCATTCTGCAAACAGTCAAAAAGGCAAAAACCAATAATCAATGTTTCCCTTCAAATACATTTAAAGTTATATATCTATCAAAGTCATTTAGTTATAGACATTTTTCACATTTTGCCATCTAAAAGTATATTTGACTTTTGTACACTAAATATTAAATATGTGCATGTATGCATACTTATGTAAGTTTGGTGATTGTTTAATTTCACACAAATGTATGAAGATTTTAAATATAGCTTTAGCTGACTTAAACTGTTCTTTATTATGGGGGCTCCAACTATCTTCATCATTAAATCATGCCTGAAGTTCTGTACATTACATGTAAATCATGCCTGAAGTTCTGTACATTACATGTAAATCATGCCTGAAGTTCTGTACATTACATGTAAATCATGCCCAAAGTTCTGTACATTACATGTAAATCATGCCTGAAGTTCTTTACATTATATGTAAATCATGCCTGAAGTTCTGTACATTATATGTAAATCATGCCTGAAGTTCTTTACATTATATGAAAATTATGCCTGAAGTTCTGTACATTATATGTAAATCATGCCTGAAGTTCTTTACATTATATGTAAATCATGCCTGAAGTTCTGTACATTATATGTAAATCATGCCTGAATGTAAATCATGCCTGAAGTTCTGTACATTATATGTAAATCATGCCTGAAGTTCTGTACATTACATGTAAATCATGCCTGAAGTTCTGTACATTACATGTAAATCATGCCTGAAGTTCTGTACATTATATGTAAAACATGCCTGAAGTTCTTTACATTATATGTAAATCATGCCTGAAGTTCTTTACATTATATGTAAATCATGCCTGAAGTTCTGTACATTACATGTAAATCATGCCTGAAGTTCTGTACATTATATGTAAATCATGCCTGAATGTAAATCATGCCTGAAGTTCTGTACATTATATGTAAATAATGCCTGAAGTTCTGTACATTATATGTAAATCATGCCTGAATGTAAATCATGCCTGAAGTTCTGTACATTATATGTAAATCATGCCTGAATGTAAATCATGCCTGAAGTTCTGTACATTATATGTAAATCATGCCTGAAGTTCTGTACATTACATGTAAATCATGCCTGAAGTTCTGTACATTATATGTAAATCATGCCTGAAGTTCTGTACATTATATGTAAATCATGCCTGAAGTTCTTTACATTATATGTAAATCATGCCTGAAGTTCTTTACATTATATGTAAATCATGCCTGAAGTTCTGTACATTACATGTAAATCATGCCTGAAGTTCTTTACATTATATGTAAATCATGTCCGAAGTTCTGTACATTACATGTAAATCATGCCTGAAGTTCTGTACATTACATGTAAATCATGCCTGAAGTTCTTTACATTACATGTAAATCATGCCTGAAGTTCTTTACATTATATGTAAATCATGCCCGAAGTTCTGTACATTACATGTAAATCATGCCTGAAGTTCTGTACATTATATGTAAATCATGCCTGAAGTTCTGTACATTACATGTAAATCATGCCTGAAGTTCTGTACATTACATGTAAATCATGCCTGAAGTTCTTTACATTATATGTAAATCATGCCCGAAGTTCTGTACATTACATGTAAATCATGCCTGAAGTTCTGTACATTATATGTAAATCATGCCTGAAGTTCTGTACATTACATGTAAATCATGCCTGAAGTTCTGTACATTACATGTAAATCATGCCTGAAGTTCTTTACATTATATGTAAATCATGCCCGAAGTTCTGTACATTACATGTAAATCATGCCTGAAGTTCTGTACATTATATGTAAATCATGCCTGAAGTTCTTTACATTACATGTAAATCATGCCTGAAGTTCTGTACATTACATGTAAATCATGCCTGAAGTTCTGTACATTACATGTAAATCATGCCTGAAGTTCTGTACATTACATGTAAATCATGCCTGAAGTTCTGTACATTATATAATCGTTAAAAAACTCATCAAAGATACAATTTGTACTAGAGCTAATAAATCAAGACAACACTTGAAGTAATAAATTAGAAGTGTAATAAAATATGTTTACTAATAATCTTTTCACTGATTAAGATTAGGAAATATGGATAAAACAACAATTTTGACCATTTTCTCTGCAGTGATGCATCTTATATAAGGATCAATAATAGCAGATATTTGGTGGCTGTTTTACTGTATATAGAATATCAGAAAGGCAGAGGTGAAATACTGATTTATATAGGGTTGTATGCAAAATTTTGCAAAAATATAACATCAAAAGTTCATGAAAATAAGAGTTTTACTCAATCCACGAAAATTGGTACCGACGAAAAACAAATGTAGATATAAACACTGTTTTAAATTTCTTGGCAGACTTAACTTTGTTTGTAATTTTTTTTTATATAAATAAATCATGAGAAATGTTCATAACTAAGCAGTTGATACAAACTGAAATAATAAACAATTCATAATAAAAAAAATAAAATATAAAAGTTTTGAAAAAAAATTTATATAAAGTATTAAATAGTTTATGTAGTTATATACTGTCAAAGAGAACTGTGTCAAATGACTTGATTTCGTATTTATTTAAAGAATAATGTTTTCAATTAAGTGGGATAAGAGATCTTTAAAAGCCTTTAAAAAATAATATAATTCCTAGTTTAACAAATATGAAATAAGTGTCCCAAAAAAATATACTTCAGCAGTTTTGTGCATTTTGAAGCAAGTTGTTGCATAAGTTCAATTGTAGCAAAGCTAAGTTTGTACACTTATTTTTAAATTCTTTCCCAGTTCAACAGTGACTATACACACAATATCAATAATAATTTGAAAAGAGAAGGCTATTTGCTACATACCTGTATTGCTTCAGATACCATAAAGAATTTAGATAGTATAGTTGGAAGCCTCCTGTCTATGTACACATTATGTACAACTTTCTGGACAAGAGGTTCCACAGGAGTAACTGATTGTATATAAACTCCACGCCCAAAAAAGGAAGAAAATTCTAAATATACAATGCCTGGGCCAATCTGTAAAAAAATGAAGGCAAGAGCTATTAGGTATGTGTTTAGCAGAAGCTGTTTGTTTTTGCGTAAGGGGTAGTTCATACCTGATATAGGTAATGCAAAAGCTGTTTGTTTTAGCATTTAGGGTAGTTCATTCCTGATATATATTTAGCAAAAGCTGCTTGTTTTAGCATAATGGGTAGTTCATACCTGAATAGCTTCAGCGGCCATAAGGCACTTAGCTATTATAGTTGGAATTTTCCAATCAAGGTACACATTATGCACAACCTTCTGTACCAGAGGTTCTACGGGAGTGATTGAGTGGGTAAATATACCTCTACCAAAAATCGAATCTAATTCTAAATATACTATTGCAGGACCAATCTGAAAAAACAAGATTCCTGATTGCATTTCTGAGAAACTTTTTAGAAGCAGATAGAGCTCTGTGCAGTTATTTTGAAATATGAAATACAGAATTTTGAAAAAAAATTGCACAGCCTTTTATTTATTTTATACAAAATAGATATTTTCTATAGTATTTATAAATGACCAGTGGTACAGTTTAAACTATTTCTTAGTATTATTATTTCTTATCAAGGACTTGTATACTATACAAATCCTTGCTCTAAGAAGATAGATTCTGTGCTTTCAGAAATAAATTTAAAATCTCTGAACTAATTTCTTTGCTACTCATAAAAATGGTAAAAGCACCAGTATAATATTATTTATAAAAGTAAATTATATGAGTTATCTCCCCTCATATTTTTTTTTCAAAGTTTACAATTTGTAATATTGAGAGAGTTATTTTTTTATTATAAAATCATTTAATGTCTTAACTTAAAACAAAATCCCCCAAATAAATTGTAAATCTTATGTTAAATTTTAGTTTCTGCTACAAATTTCATGTCACCATCTGGGGGATCCATCCAGAATTGTTTCTGGGGGTGTCATCAAAACAAACTTTCAAAACAATTCTTTTTTATTGATATTGAGGTCAAACTTGGTGCATTTCTAATTGCTTTCAGTTGTTGACTTTGACAATGTCTTTTTTTGTATTTTGCCAGAAACACAACCACATTTTCACTTCAGAAGAAAGACCTCTTGTCTATTCAAGTCGAAGTTATGAAATTGTAGGTTTTCGAGCCATGACATGCTAGGTCAATTAAGGTTTGTTGGTACTTAGATTTGGGCTGATTTGTGGTTTTTCCTGTTGGAAAGAGGTGAAATTTCAATACAAGAAAAATAATCTGCTTCGCCAAGCGCAGCTGGATACGACTGCAGAGGTCCAACCCTGAACAGTTGGGGCAAAAAGGGACACAATATTCAAGCTTGATACAGGTCTGAATTTGGATTGTAATTAAATATTTGACACATTATAGGTTTCTGACACAGAATAAATGTAGTCAAAGAACTTGAAATTGGTTGTATGATTTGAATTTATATTCAATGAAGATTTCTTGCTGTTGTGCAATACACTGTGCTGTTGTAAATCTGTTTCCAGACTATATACAAAAAATTAGCAAAATAAATTGTGACCCCCAATTTTTTTTCTTTGGAAAATTGACAATTTCTGAAATCTTGAGGAAAAAAAAATTGACCCCCCCCCCCCCCTTCCCCCAAAAAAAAATTTTGTTTACCCCCTCCAAAATAATATTTGAAGAGAATTTTCTTTTGAGGAAAAAAATTGCCCCCCCCCCCCAAAAAAAAAAATGTTTACCCCCACCCCCTTTTCCAAAAAAAATAATTTTGAAGAAATTTTCTTTTTGTTGTAAAATGTGGTACAAATTAAGAGACATCCATACACTTAACACAGTTTATTGTTTGAAAACTAGAAAAATGCTTGTTTTAGACCCTTTTTGGCCCCTAATTCCTGAACTGTTTAGACAATTACCCCAAATGAATCCCAACCTTCTACTTGTGGTATTGAACCTTGTGGTACAATTTCAGAGCAATCAAAATACTTATACACAAGTTATTGTCCTGAAACTAGAACTAGAGGCTCTCAAGAGCCTGTGTTGCTCACCTGTATTTACTGATGCTTTGGAAATCATGTAAAATAAGGTTAAAATCATAATTAATAGTAGTAGATATTAGATATTATAATGATATCTAAGATAATAACAAAAAACTGCAAAATTTTTGTAAAATTACTAACTCAGGGGCAGCAACCCAACAACAGGTTGTTGGATTCGTCTGAAAATTTCAGGGCAGATAAATCTAAATCTGATGAACATTTTTGCCACCTGTCAGATTTGCTCTAAATGCTTAAGTTTCAGAGATATAAACCAATAAACTGCTTCGCTGAGCGCAGCTGGATACGCCCGCAGAGGTCCAACCCTGAACAGTTGGGGCAAAAATGGACACAATATTCAAGCTTGATACAGGTCTGAATTTGGATTGTAATTAAATATTTGATATATTATAAGTTTCTGAATAAATGTAGTCAAAGAACTTGAAATTGGTTATATGAAAGATTTCTTGCTGTTGTGCAATACACTGTGCTGTTGTGCAATACTTAGTAAATCTGTTGTCAGACTATAAACAAATAAAATCTTATAACTCGGAATCGTACACTCGAAAATTTATAAAAATCAAAAGGGAGCTTACAAAAATAGATATAAATAATTTACCAAAGTTTCATAAAAAATACTGAAAGCATTTTTGAGTTATTGTCCGAAAACTGGAAAATCCCCCTTTTTATAATGAATAAAACCCCTTGAATCGGAAACGTATAGTCTGAAATTTATAAAAATCAAAAGGGAGCTCATGTCCATAGAAATAAACAATTCATCAAAGTTTCTTGCAAATTGGTGAAATTGTTTTTGAGTTGTTGTCTGAAAACTGAAAAATCCCCCCTTTTTTAATGAATAAAACCCCAAAACTCAGAAACGGTAAATCTGAAATTTATAAAAAAAAACGAAAGGGAGCTCACGTCAATAGAAATGAACAATTCAAAAAAGTTTCATGCAAATTGGTGAAATTTTTTTTGAGTTATTGTCCGAAAACTGGAAAATCCCCCCTTTTTTAATGAGTAAAACCCCAAAACTTGGAAACGGTAAATCGGAAATTTATAAAAAACGAAAGGGAGCTCTGGTCAATAGATATGAAAAATTCACAAAAGTTTCATGCAAATTAGTGAAATTGTTTTTGAGTTATTGTCGAAAACTGGAAAATCCCCCAAAACTCGGAAATGGTAAATCTGAAATTTATAAAAAACGAAAGGGAGCTCACGTCAATAGATATGAACAATTCACCAAAGTTTCATGCATATTAGTTAAAGCATTTTTGAATTAATGTACGACATGTTGACGACGGATGGACGGACAGACGGAAGGACGGACGGTCAATGGTATACCATAATACGTCCCGTAAACGGGCGTATAAAAACTGCATTTTACCCCTATGTTCTATTTTTAACCAAGTCAGCCATGATGGTTGGAAGGCGGGGTCATCTGACAAATTTTTTAAACTAGATACCCTAATAATGATTATGGCCAAGTATGGTTAAATTAATTTGTCTCAGTAGTTTCAGAGAAGAAGATTTTTGTAAAAGATTACAAAAATTTACAAAAAATTGTTAAAAATTGACTATAAAGGGCAATAACTCCAAAAGGGGTCGACTGACAATTTTGGTCATGACAACTTATTTGTAGATCTTACTTTGCTGAACATTATTGCTGTTTACAGTTTATCTCTATCTATAATAATATTCAAGATAATAACCAAAAATTGCAAAAATTCCTTAAAATTTTTAGTGATGAGAAAAGCTCACTTGGCCCTTCGGGCCAGGTCAGCTAAAAATGCTTGTTTTGGCCCCTTTTTGGCCCCTAATTCTTAAACGGTTGGGACCATCACCCCAAACACAATCCCAACATTCCTTTTGTGGTATTGAACCTTTCAGTTAAATTTCATAGAGATCCATACACTTAAACTAAAGTTATTGTCCGGAAACTAAATGTCTTCTGACGACACCAACGAGGTGATACCAATATATGACCGCAAAAAATCAAAATTGAAGCAAATTAATAAAGGTTAGAGTAGAAGATTTTTTATGTTGGTTATAACAAATCAATTCAATATTGGCATCACAGTAGCAAAAAAATAATGTTCAGGAAAATTTGGAAATAATGTTTAAACTTTTCAAATTTAAATATATAAATAAAATTGATGAAGAAAAAACAGAGATATGTATAGAAGTTTAGCATATATGTCTCTGGTCTCTGGAAAAACGTTTGAAAATTGAAATTGTCTCTTTATTATCACACCTCCACATCAAAGGAACCTAAATTAGCAATTGCCGGTCGGTGATTACAAATTCAGTGAAAAAAATACATGTCAAGGTACATGTTTTTTGCCTTAAGGTAAATCAATTCTAGAATGACAAGTACATTATTAGTGATAAGACTAATAAGTAAATTAATCAAAATTTAAATTATACTATGGTTCACTATATTTGCCAACCTCAGGGGGGTATCACTTGCACCCGGTCGATGACACCCCCTTGATCCACCTTTGCCATGCAACTTAAGGTAGCAGTACAAGTCAGATGTAAAAACATGTTAGTGGTTCTCTTTTTAGTATTGTAACTTTGTTATCAGTTACAACAATGGAATTTGCTATTAATTAAGAACTAAGCTAGTTTAAACAAAATGTTGACTGTACCATAAAGAGTGTCTTTCGCTAACTAACATGCTAATCTATATATGTATTGAGTTAATTTGAGTATTATGAGTCAGGAATATGACAGTTGTTTTCCATTCATTCGATGTGTTTGAGCTTTTGATTTTGCCATTTGATAAGGGACTTTCCATTTTGAATTTTCCTTAGAGTTCGGTATTTTTGTTATTTTACTTTTTTTTTATGCATAGACACCATATAAGCAGTACAGTTGTTTGTATGTCAATGATATTGGACTATTATCTTCATATAAATTGTAAAACATTTTTGTCATTATGTACTACATTTCTTTCCTAATTAACTTTGTTTAAATTAAGCTTGTAGTTTTTCCTATATTTTGAGGGGATGGTTCTCCATGGTGACTAATCATGAAGTCTTATAGGTCTATATAGTTACCATCAGGTAATACCCATGTAAATGTGCATCTGAAATTGAACTGTATGCAATAAAGGGATTCATTTATTTGCCATTTAGATTTTCAAAGAGTCAGTCAACAGAATGCTTATTACTGTTCATGCAGACTTTTTTAAATTTGAGATTGGGACAGCATTCTGCTCTTACTATAAATGTGATATTGATAAATAAAAACCAAAATTCTTACCTGATTGGCTTGGACATCGAGATCAATTGGTGTGATAGTTTTCCCAAAAATCTGTAGCTTGTGTGTGAGATTCAATACTCCTATATGTTCATTTGGTGCTTTTTGTGCTTCCCACTTTGCACTCCAGACATGGGAAGCAAAAGACCAGACAGTTGACCACATATGTCTTAGGTCTATCCCTGCTGTCATGAATGGAGTATGGACATTGTATAAATGTTGAACATCAGCACCATTTTCCGGAACTTCCTATCAACAATAAAAGACCAATTTACACTAGTGAAAGTCTAATAATAGAGTTATGAAATAGACAACACACTGTGGAGTTCAACAGCTTAAGTTTGTTGGGTTTAGATAACATTTATATTTTTCACCTACATTTTATCTGTAAATAAGCAGCTGTTTAACCCTTATTGTGCAAATTGGAGTTGTTACAAGAATAAAATAGAATATTAAGAAGGCATTTAATCAAAAGCAAATAAATGGCTCTTAGTATAATGAGGAAACCCATAGGCATAGAAATATTGTGTTAAAAAAAAATGTAAAAAGTCCCATAAATTTGGAATGACAAACCAGAAAATTTTCAAAATCAATAGCTAGTCTACATTCACCAATCCTAACCAACACTGTAAAGTGTGTAGTAATAAGATCCAAGCACACTAGAACTATTGCATGACTTTTATATATAGGACTGTCAAAGTCCCAAAACTCAGGAATGATTATGGTCACAAGTTCCAACAATTATGTAAAGTTTCAAGTTAATCAAAGCCAACTCAAGTTATGGTACAATATGTGAAAAATTTACTTAAATCTGACAATAAAAGTAAATCTGGTATGACAAGTCGGAAAATTTTCGATATCAAAAGGAGCTTTCCTTTTATCAATTCCAACAATAATGCACAGCTTTGAGCAAATTAATCCAGGCTTACTAGTGCACTATACCTGAATCTAAGTCCCATAACTCTGGAACAACAAAGCCCAAAATTTTCAAAATGGAAAGGGAGCTTTATTACCTCAATGAGACCATGATTATGAAATAACTACTAGAGAAAAAGACCAAGTTGAAGAAATAACTACCAGAGAAACAGACCATGTTGATGAAATAACTAGAGAAAAAGATCATGATGATGAAATAACTACTAGAGAAACAGACCATGATTATGAAATAACTACTAGAGAAAAAGACCAAGTTGAAGAAATAACTACCAGAGAAACAGACCATGTTGATGAAATAACTAGAGAAAAAGATCATGATGATGAAATAACTACTAGAGAAACAGACCATACTGATGAAATAACTACTAGAGAAAAAGACCAAGTTGAAGAAATAACTACCAGAGAAACAGACCATGTTGATGAAATAACTAGAGAAAAAGATCATGATGATGAAATAACTACTAGAGAAACAGACCATACTGATGAAATAACTACTAGAGAAAAAGACCAAGTTGAAGAAATAACTACCAGAGAAACAGACCATGTTGATGAAATAACTAGAGAAAAAGATCATGATGATGAAATAACTACTAGAGAAACAGACCATACTGATGAAATAACTACTAGAGAAAAAGACCATATTGATTAAATAACTACTAGAGAAACAGAAGATGTTGATGTAGCTTTTACGTGAGAAAAAGAGAGACAAAGGATACCATAGGGACATTCAAACTCATAAATCGAAAATAAACTGACAATGTCATGGCTAAAAAAGAAAAAGACAAACAGACAAACAACAGTACACAAAACATATCATAGAAAACCAAAGACTGAGCAACATGAAACCCAACCAAAAAATGAGGGTGATCTCAGGTGCTCCGGAAGGGAAAGCAGATCCTGCTCCACATGTGGCATCCGTAGTGTTGCTCATGTTTGTACAAACCTGATGATAATACTAATTCGGAAGGTCACATTAGGGGAAAAGTGGACAGGATTATAGTAATGACAATTGGAACATATCAGTTGTCATCTGTGAAACTATTAATTATCCATACCTCTTTATGTAAATAAACTAACCTCAATGTGAGCATTAACATAATGTTCAGATCTGCCACCATATGCCCATTGACCACTTTGGATTTCTTCTATATCTGGTGGCATCCAGTAGGGTTCTGTTCCTTCTTCGGCATGGTACCATAGGTAGATCCAACCATTCATTTCTTTTGTAATATAAGATTTAACTTTTGCCATTTCTGGAACTGAAAATATAAATTCTAAGTGATGAAACATTGAAGTCTGTGGAATAATTCTAAAATAGTCAAAATAGGTTTGTATTTTGGCATTTTGGCACAATCGGTTAAAAATAACATCTAATATTTCTTAATCAGCATTTCCATTTGCAATGCTGAAACACTTCAGATATGTATGGTGCATTTCTGGAAAATAATTATGCAATTTAATAATGTGTTTATTATGATATTCACAGTTCTAGAAAAACAAGCATTCTGAGAGTATTGCATGGTAATACAGTAAACTATACAAATATTTGGTTTAATGTAGTGTCATATTTAAATATTTTAAAAGTCACATTTCAGTAACCACAAATTGGCGAGTTATATGTACAGATTTGGGTTTTAAATTATTGAGGAAATAGGTTACCTATATATTGACATATTACTGGTAGTCTGAATGAATGTAAAGAACAGTTTTAAATAAAAAGAACTTATATTGTGTTTGTTGGTATAGGTACAATAACATGTAAACATTACTGGATAGTACAATAGGGTTGTTCAAAAGATCTGGCACTATTTTTACTTAGATAGGGGTACCAAACAGTATTATCTTTTTAAAAAATCCTATCTTTCTACATTTGTTGTTTGATGAAAACATTATCATATATATCAAAACATATTAGAAATATAAGAGGTTACATTTGTAGTTCAAACACATCAAAAATAATTTAACATAATAACTTCCCCACATTTCTTTAGTTGGACCACTTGCTCAAATTACTAAAAAGGACATAAAATATAGCTAATTCAAAGTACAGGGACTATTTTTACAAAAATTATCAGTGCTACATGTACATAAATTGTCTGGTATATAGGAAACAATCTGAAATGCTGAAATCTTGAACCTGAATTGTATAATTGTTTCACTACACAATTGGATTACTAAGTACTTAAAATAAGTATTAAATTTTTTTTTTAAAAACAGTTTCTCTTATTACTGTAGGGAAATTAATTAATTATATTGGAGTTTATACACTTTGCACTCTAAATTGCACATGTCCTCAGCACTTTTACCCTGACCCATCATGTGTTTAATATTAGTAAGATACACAATGTATTTACTTAAATCAGTTATTTTTGGCTTTTGGATTTGACCAATCTGGTTATAGATATTGAAGGGACAGGTAGTTGGTTATAAAGTTTGTTGCAGTTTCAGCAGCCATATTTTGTTTCTCTCAGATTTATTTTGACCCTGCCATCCCCTTCAGCAACAATTTACATATGTATATATGTAAAGTTGGTTGTATTATTAGTGTATTATTAGTCATTTTAGGATTTTAAAAAGGGTAAATACACAAAGGAAAAGTTAATATCTCTCTATTCTTTCATTTTTTAGGCAACTTTTCTCAATTCTTTATATTTTTTGCCCATTATTCTCTATTCTTTATATTTTAGCACCTCATTATTCTGTGTTCTTTATTTTTTGGTCCATTTTTCTCTATTCTTTATATTTTTTGCCTATTATTCGCTATTGTGTAAACCCCAATCCACACCTTCATAACTCCTGGTCAAATTTTCAGTGAATGTTTATTTTTATTAAAATAAAAATTATCAATACTTTTCTCTAGTCTTAGTAGATTTGTTTGATCAATAAATAAGATAACTTGTTAGAAACAATACGGTATTCAGCAATTAACGTTAAGTTCATTAAATAGTACAATATCAATGCAGACGTGACAGAGAGCACCTTTTTTTTAAATGAAACGTTGATCCTTCAATTGTACTTGATTATACATAAATACATTATCTTACTAAAACATGTTTAATTGAACTGCATGAATTAAATAATTGACATAGAAGATAACACTAGGAACAAAATTGATTTGATTGTTTCTATTAGGTACACAAATGAAAGTCAACCTCGATTGAAAAAGGGGGAGGGATAAAACTTTATATTCAGTTTTGGATTACTAATGATCGTAGAAAACAAATAATATGTTTTACCGACCTTGAAGAGACCTTTCCAATCGTATTATAAGCAGAGAATTGTACTTTTGGTCAACAATTTTCCTTGGTTAAAATTATAACCGAGGTCCAAAGCAAGGTTAAATCTGATTCAATTAACCAAATATATAACAAAGGGTGGAATTTAAACAACCGCAGGATGAACAACAGAAAATAACATAGGGTGAAATTTTAACCAAGGGTTATGATTTTTAACCCTAGGTTAAAATTTAACCAAGAGATGAACAACCTGGGTCCAGATGTTTACAAGACACATGGCAGTCAGGTATTGTTATCTTTTCAGTTTGTTTGATTGTATCTTACACAATTATTTGGGGCTTCAAATCTGACTTATATCAATGAAAACTATGAAAACTGTCAGAATAGCTACATTGTGAGATCTTGTCAATATCATTTAGATATGAATTAAACCGTGGCCTTACCTAAAAAGAAATATATTCCACATCAAAATATATGTATAAGACATCTTGAAATAAAAGATCTTTTTTGGTAAGACTGTTTGAAATTTAGCCATTTTAGATCAAACGTGTCAACTTAGAAATGGCATGACAGTGACAGTACAATTTACATTACTGTATTACAGTGTCTTGATTATATTCTCTTATTTATTTATCAATCAAATTAACATCATTTTGGAAGCTCCTTTTACTATTTTTGAAATTTAAGGAGCCAGATAAAGACTTTCCTCATACCTCCTAGTGACTGCCTTGCCCGTTAAGTTTAAGGATGTTTACACAATTCAAATCAGGCAACTGAAATTCATAAAATAGACATACACACAACAAGCAAAGGAACAGCGCTTTTATTGCAAATCTTTTATCTCAAAGTCACAGTGAGGCCTTCAGCAGGGAGCAAAAAACACTCTCACCTCACTACAAGTTTATTTTAATGTAATATTATATACATGAGCTTTTTTACTCCCAAAATGGAGTAAAGTAATTAACCTTTTAGAAGATAACATGTGCGTGTAGATGTAGGTCAGCAATCATACATTTTTTGTTTTGTTTTGTAAGATCGAAATTCTAAAATGCAAACATCATGTAAAAATAAAAAATCTAAAGTATATTGTAAAGTTTTCATCACTAGAGTGAGATGGAACAAAGTACAAGTTGATCTGATTATAGTCTATATGGTATGTGTTTTGCTCATTGTTGTTCCAGTAGTGACGATAGAGATTTTGTTATTTCCTCATATGAGTAAAATGATGTGTTGTGTAAATATGTGTTGTTTTTGTTGGTATAGGTCTATGTGACAGCAACCCAATAACACAAGTTCTGTCTACTGCCTTGTTTATTTTATCTGTAAAGGAAGTATCCCTATTAGTTTGTAAACTTTCGGATTTTTTTGTGTTTTAAAACCCATACTTACTGTTTTCAGAGTAAGGAATTTTGGTACATTTCCCATCTGAACCACGGAATTGCCAGCCATGGAATGGACACTCTATGCAGTCCCCAACAACGCGTCCACCAGCAGCAAAATTGGCTCCTAAATGTGGACAGTAGGCGTCGATTGCATGCGCTTCTCCATATTCGTCTCGAAATAATGCTAACTGTAAACCTGATTAAAAATAACAGAAATTGCTCAGTCACACATAAGAATTAATATTTGTACAAGTAATATAGTGGTAGCAATTGTGCAATAAGCATTCCTTTATCTAAATATTTCGCCCGTTTCCCAGTAAAAATAAATCTCTACCTCTAAAAGTCAAATCCTTGACCCTTCTACACAAGGAAATTGTGTCTCGAGTCCACAGATCCACTGAAACCCCCACATGAATCTTAAAAAATCCCACCACCCATTAAGCCTACTCCTTCTATGGACCTTCAAGTTTGCTTCCCTAGGACAGGCTCTTGGAATTGAGAGGATTGGTTGCGACAACGCGATTACGAACAGACCACTGAACCAGAGACAGAAAATAAAACGTATTTGTAGGCACAGGCAGTTGACTCTGAAAAAAAATATATATACTTTAAGTATATAAGTGTTATATTAAAGTTTTGTCTTTGGCAATTCATAATTTTACTATAAACAAGAATATTTTACAAGGAAAACTAGGAAAGGAAGGAGGAGAAAACAGAGGAAATATTTTACGAGGCCATAGGTGAAACAAATTACTGTATAAATTTCACTGGAATAACACAGATAAAGCTTTAATGGCGAATAACTCACTAACATTCAAATAATCTGGATTGTACTCCAGTTTCGAATCTGCGCAGTGGACCATTCTTTAATTATTTGACCCTTTGATTAACTTTTTTTTTCTAATTTCAGAAATTTGATAGGCAAATTATGATGTGAAGTCAAACCAAATAGAATGCATATGTGTTTTGTTGTCAGTAGTGCTAGAGTACGGCCGTGCTCATTCGACTAATCATCACTTTTTTTTTATTTTAGCAACTGAGTGTCCTGAGACACTAGAATCCATTCCAATATTATAGTTATGTATGATGAAGTTAAGTGTTCAGTGAAATGTTACCGAGAGCCAGAGTGGAGGAGTTTAGAGCGTATTAATGTTTAGTTTATTTCTTTTTGTAGGATTTTGAACACAGATATATTTAACATGTTAAACATTTTTCTAGATTACATTATACCATAGAGATTGCAGATCATGCGCTTGCAAGAATTGAGCATGCAATGAAATGAAAAGGTCATTTTCATGTTCTATATTTGAATTTTATATTGTTATATTGTCTTATTAATATGAAAATGTATTGGTATTTTGACTTTTCTGTTGCACTAGCACCTGGTTCACTTGATTTTTCATTATTGGAAAACTGCATCAGTACTATTTTAAAACACACATATTTTAGTGTGAAGTGTTAATATCCCTCCTCATATTGCAAAAATGACAATACTAATTGAATGCATATTTGCAAACATGCAATACCTCAGTGCCTCCCCGTTACAAATATATTAACATACACCCTTTGAAATTTTGGAAGTGTCTTATTGAATATCTGCAATTATGACCATATACATTTTGTTTTTGATTCTTAATTTAATTTAAGTATTTTATGGGCATTAGGTCACAAAACTACATTCACATAAATGTGATATATAAACATTGACTCTATATGAAAATTTACATTATGTTGATCATACTTTAATTCTTTGTACATGTATATATATATAATCATTATTCTTATTTTATCAGTTCAGATGATGTTTCAAATTCAAGCTTTGGGACAAAGCTTAGTGAGGTTGAGGAAGAGTTGTTATAGTAAAATTATGAATTGCCAAAGACAAAATTTTAATATAACAGCCCAAAACTTAAGTGAAAATTATTCAATTTTTACAATTCGAGTTAAAGTATTTTGAAGTTTAAATTTTTATTTTATTTCTAAAATTTCTCCTTATGTAAGTTACATTATTTTTGGAATGTTAATTTTTGATAAAGAAGAATGACATACAACTTGAATATTTAGATTACGTAATTAAGACGGATAACAAAGAGACATGTAAGCGCTAAATTATTTACTTTGGATTATGTACCTTACATGTAAATTAAGGCTTTTGTTAAACAACCTTTTCCTATTACTCATGTGTGAAATTGATATTAACACCTGTCACCCATGACTTGATTATTGGCCAACCAGTGAAAATAGGTTGTGGTCAAGGGAGCTTCACAAGGTAATTTTTGATTGGTGAAAACAGGAGAAAGTTAAGAAATCAGTGATCATGTGACCACGCCCGCATGGAAACAATTTATGTTTTCAACGGTCACTTTGATTACTGATTTCAAGAAATAAACATCTATATTTACTAGAACTTTCTCTTGTTTTACACCAGGTAAGTTGAATTTTATTTTTTGTATTTTTGTTTTATTTAAATTAAAGAGTTTTAATTACTTTATATTTTTGGGAAAAGCTAACGAAAGTTAAAATTCATTTAAGAAATTCACTTAAACTAATTGTATATAGTTTTGTATAGATTGTATTTCGTTTCCATTGTGATTAATTATTTTTGTGTTGGTTACGCTTAGGACGAGTCACTTTTAGTTTATGTAAACAATTGATAAACGTTTCAAGAATTTATTTAATATATATCTATTCTATGTTTAGAAATATTTAGTTAATTTTATAATAGTTATTTTCAAAAGTTTATTGAAAGTCCGGAAATATTTCACATTGTATCCGTAGTAACTTTTAAGTGTTATAATGTCCAGGGGAGATAATTTGTAATTTTTATTTGCCGGGAGAAATGTCTTTTGTTGATAAAGCAATGATTATAGAGTTTTATCGAAAGCAAAATAACAAAGACATGAAACCTTATTTTCTACTTCATTATTCTGTAAGTTGTGTTTTTTATATTTTGTATATAGATTGCATATTTAGTTCATAAATTAGGTTTTGGAAAGCGACACTTGTCCGCAGGATTTCAGTTTGTTTACAAAATTGTTTGAACATTTGAATTGACTTTAGAACTTATATCTAAGTTGAATTTAGTTAATTTATTGTATTACACACATACACGGAACTCGTGACAGAAGTACATGTTTGTTGCTTAGCAACATGGGTATATTCTTTATTTTAATATTTTGCAAAAGGAGTAAATGCTGTTTAAGCATTATTCAAGGTTATTTTACATACCAATTTATTCATAAATAAGTTGTATTTGGTATTAGATTTTATGCGATTAAATTTAAGATAGTATGACAAAGATTTATTTATTTTAAAAGTTTATTGTTTCCATAGCAACAAGTAATTATGCAAAACATTTGAAATTAAGTATCCATTTAAGTTGAAACGATTCGATTTTTTTAACATATTGTATTATGCATTAACCTGCGCTAAAAGTCATCAGACGCAGCACAGAAAAGTCAGTACGACATAAGTAAAAAAAAATCGAGACAACTGCCTGTGTATGTGTAAGCGTACTTTCATTCCGCCGTGTATTTATTCCAGGTAACTGTTTTTCACTAGAGAATATTGGATGTAAATAGTGTGAAAGCGTCGATCTTGACGTCGTTGTTTTGTTTATATTAGACCAGTTTTTTGTTTTAACATAAATAAATGGGTTAAAATTAAAATGATTTTCAAGGAACCAGTTTAATTAATCTGAGTCAATCTAGTAAATAATATTGATGATGAGGAGGAGGATATTTTTATAACTCAAAATACTTTATCAATGATCAGGACATTGAACTTGATACAACCCAAATTTAAAGAGCAGATTTGTTCTTAGACCCCGTTCACACTAGGACATTTAGGTCGATTTAAACTAGATCGGTTCACTTTAGATCGATTTAAGGGCCAATGTGGACGGCGCTTTGAATTGATCTTTAATCGGTCTAAACTAAGACCCCGTTCACACTAGGACATTTAGATCGATTTAAACTAGATCGGTTCACTTTAGATCGATTTAAGGGCCAATGTGAACGCGTTGAATCGATCTTCAATCGGTCTAAACTAAAACACCAAAAGAGGTAGTTTAGTTTGAATCGATCTAAAGTGAACCGATCTTACTTTAAATGTGAACGCAAAGATCGGTTTAAACTAGTACGATTGAATCAAAAATAATTCATGCACATGTATATATAGCGGCAAAACTACACGTGTAATAACATAACATCCCTGTATATATCGGTGATTCGTTGTTTAACCCATATGTCTCTGTAAACAGACCTTTAATTGTGTACATGCAAGTAAAAACAAACGGAAAAAAGTTGTCTTCGCCGTAGCATAAAATAGGTCAGATCGATTGCATTTTTACTTGTAGTGTGAACGCAGTGGTTCAGATTAGACCGATAGGGATCATTATGATTAAAGATAATGTGAACGCTAACTGGTTTTATCTAGATCGATTCAAATTTAAATCGATTAAAAAAATGCTAGTGTGAACGGGGTCTTACTTAAAGTTTCAATTACAGAAGCATCCTTTGATATTGACATAGAAGATATGATTTAATATCCAAGTTATGGCGCGGAATCCGGGTCAAAATACTTATTAACGTATATACACAATTATTTCCGTATATACGTAATTCGATTTACGTATATACGTTAATAGAATTACGTATATACAGAAATAATTATGAGAATAATTATGTATATACAAAAACAAAAATAATTATGTATTTACGGAATATTCGATTTATGTATATACGGAATTCTTTATGTATATTCGTAATTCGATTTATGTATATACATAATTAAATAGTTATGCATAAACGGAATTCGATTTACGTATATACGTTATTCGATTTATGTATATACGTAAATCGAATTACTTATATACGAAAATAGAATTATGAATATACGTAAATCGAATTCCGTATATACATAAATAGAATTTCGTTTATACATAATTATTTCTGTATATACATAATTTGATATATGACTCGTCTAAACATCAGCCCAACAATGTTAGATCTGTAAATTTCCTTTCGCAAATTTTTTGTTCTTCCCTCGCCGGGATTCGAACTCATGCTACTGAGATATCGTGACACCAAATCGCCTGCACTGTATCCAACGCGCTAGGCTTCACAATAATAAAGCTTTCGGTGGCCGGGTGTTACCTTTCCTCGTAAGTTTTAATCTAGCGTCGTAATACAGTAC